CTATCTTTCCTGGTAGATGCATATTACAGCATTCAGCATCCAATATGGGTAAGGTAGCTAGGAGAGAGAGAAGGGGAGAGAGGGGGGAGGGAGGAGGGAGGGAGGTAGAGAGAGAGAGGGAGAGGGAGAGGGAGAGAGAGAGAGAGAGAGAGAGAGAGAGAGAGAGAGAGAGAGGTTCCTGGTCAGTTCAAGATTGATTTCACTATGTCCCATAATCAAAGATTGTGGTGTCTTCAGTGATAAAATTTTCTGTTCTAGTTATGGTGGATAGCCAAGAGTAGTTACAGTAGCCTGTCTTGTTTGGGTACTCCTGAGGCTTTCTGGCCAATAACTTTAAAGGGAGATAATTTATGCATTATCTACTCATGCAGGGAAACTGTTGAAGCTTTTTAAAATATATACATACATATATGTATTATATGTTTGTATATAAATATGTATATATTATCTTAAAACTAGGTGTCTTCTTAAGACTTCCTCATACATCCTTAGTTTTGTTTAGCTCACTCCCCATTCTACTTTTTTTTCCCATTCTCTGCTTCTATTCAATAATTCTATTCAAGCTATTTGTTCTTTCATAAACATGCCTTTTCTTGTATCCTCTTACTGGGTTGCAAGGTCATAGGTTTCCATGTAGTATTTTTTACACTCTGTTCATCTTAGTTGACCCTTCTCTAGCTCCCTGCTTCCTCATGCCCAATCTGACTCCCTACTTCCCACTTCCAACGTTCTTCCTCTCAGCTTCCATATTGCCTATACTATCCCCTCTCTCTTAATTTGCCTTCCCTCTGCTGTACCACAATAGCCTATCTCTGGTTAGTTGGCTTCTGCATTTATTCCAAGATAAACATATCTCCACTTCCCCCAAAATTTTTGAAGCTAGGCTTCATACATAAGTGAGAGCATGTGGCATTTGTTTTTCTGGATCTGGATGACATTGCTCAATATAGTATTTTCCAGTTCTATCCTTTTACTTGAAAATTTAATTTTTTCTTTATAGCTGAATAATATTCCTTACCCATATATTTTTCTTACCCATTCATCTGTTAATGGACATCAAGGTTCATTTACTACTTATTGTGACTAGACAAGCAATGAACAAAGATGGCAAGCATCTCTCTAGCATAATATAGAGTATTTTGAGTATATACCCAGGAGTGGTATTCTGGGTCACATAGTAGTTTTGTTTTTAATTTTAGTTTTATTTTTTTGGAGAAAACTCTAGATTGACTTTCAAAGTGGTTGCACTAGTTTATTTCTATTTTATTTTCATTAGCAGTGTATGAGGGTTCCCCTAGAGCAAAATCCTTGTGTGTGTGTGTGAGAGAGAGAGAGAGAGAGAGAGAGAGAGAGAGAGAGAGAAAGTTTTATAGCTTTTTTGTTTTGCAGTTAGTTCTTATCCACATTGTCTGTAGGATTTTGAATGTGGGACATAGGTTACCAAAGTATAGAGCTTTTTTAGTGAGTCCTCTATTGTAGAATATTATTTGAACTGTGTAAAAGTGTGTTATATTTGTTTTTCTGTGCAATATTACTTTAACTGTATAAAGTTGTGTTACTTTTGTTTATGCTGCATTTGTTTCATTAGATGTGTTTAATAAAGATGTGTTGTATTTGTTTCACCTTTCCTGCCTAAGGCATCTGATTGTTCTAATAAAAAGCTGAATGGCCAATAGCTAGGCAGGAGAGAGGTAGGTGAAGCTGTCAGTCAGCTATCATCCAGCCAGACATAGAGACAACAAAAAGTATAAAAAGTAGAAAGCCCCAAGATAAATGGTAGATAAAGAGAAACAGGTTAAGTTCAAAAGAGCCTAAGGTAGGCCAGGCATTCATAAGTAATTAATCTCTGAGTCATGACTTGGGAGTTCATTGGTGGCCCAAAGGAAAAACCCTGGTACAGTCCTCCTCCTTACTATGTTTTCTGTACAAATGTACACAGTTTTCCTTGGCTCAGATAGCTGTGTTGAGCCTGGCATCAATGTACATCTACAGACCCCATGTCCTTCATGGCACGTTTCTGTATTTGAGTGCCTGAGGGACAGGCGTTTCAAAACCCACTTCATTGAAGCACTTGTGTATTCTTGTGAATACACACATTGGCATTGTATTCTTGGGTCATCAAGTTGTTGATGGCAAAACGACCCTTCTTTTTCTCCCTTCTCTTTTTCCAGACCTCAGCAAGAAAGTGCATCCATGCTTTTTGTTGTTGCTTTGTTTGTTGGTTGAATCTTCTGTAGCACAGACTGAGTTCAAACTCTGCTGCATAGCAGATTCTGGTCTTCTTAAACTTCTGATTCTCCTGCTTCCACTTCCTTAGTGGTGGGTGTGCTTACAGGTAGGCACTGCCACATCCAGCTTTCCTTTCTCTGTTCAAAAAGGAGATCAGCAGTTGTACACACTCATGGGCTATGGAGATATCCCAGTGGATGAAATACCAGCTGTTCAAGCAGGAGGACCTGAGTTTGATTTCCAGCACCCACATAAGAGCTGGGTGATGGCACATGTTTACAGCCTCAGTGCTGCTAACAATTGTACATAGTTTGTCAATAACATGATATGTATGTTGTGCAGTGATTCCTAAATTATGTTAATTAAGGTGTTTGTGTGTGAAGGTTTAGGGTATACTCACTCTTTGAGCAAGTTGCAGTTATACCATACATTAATTTTAACTCACCTTGTATTTGTATTTTGAAACTGTTCTCCAGTTGGACAGAACTTGCAAAATGATAGTTTGGTCTCTGGATAACACAAAGCACAGGCTCTGAATTGTGAGAAGAGGCAAGAAGGATTAAGTGTCTAGTGCTTGCCTGAACTGACTGCTCAGGAACTGTTTTCTGGTGTGGTAACACAAGGTGGGGCCTGGCCAACTCTCAGGAATCTGGGTTAAAGAAGAATCCAAAAGCAGTGAAGTGTTTCAGTCTTGTTGATAGTGAGAACAGTATAGGGAATAGAGGTAGAGTCTTGCACAACATAGGTATGACTAATAACACAGGTTTCATATAGGGCAGGACTGTGTAATCCAGATTTTACCAAAAATTGTCAGGTGAAAGTAATGTAGTGCTTAGAGACTTAGGCCATTTTGATCCTTGTGTGTTAGAAAGAAGGAAAGGGAGTCAGTGATACCATGTTCACTCAAGAGACTAAAGGAAAAGGTAAAGCACATTAAGCTCAAGGAAAGGAACAGAAACCAAAAATGGAAAGATGGCTCAGTGAAGAGAGCTTGTTGCTCTTTTAGAGGAAATGCATTTAATTCCCACCACTCACCTCAGGCAGCTCACAACTGCCTGTATTACCTGTAAATCCAGCTACAAGGGATCCATCCGCACCTTTTTCTGGCCTCCGCAGGCACTATATACATGCACATAAACACCACATAGGTGCGCATGTGAGTGCTTGTGCGTGCGCATGTGCGCACGCGCCCCCCCCCCCACACACAATTAAAAACTGGGCATGGTGATGCATACCTTTTATTACCAGCCCTGAGAGAAAGAGAAATGTGGATCTCTGTGACTTTGTGTCTTCATCTCTCTCTGCTTTATTGTTCCAAGGCAGGTTTTGTCAGCTCTCAGGGTTGTTCTGTCTCTTTCCTAGTCCTGTGCTGGGGTTATTGGTATGAATGGCTGTGCCTGGCTTTTTATGTGGGCACTTGGGATTTGATCTGAGGGTCTCATGCTTGCTCTGCAAGTTTTTGTCTGAATTTTCCCCAGCCCTTATGTCCATGTTCTGCCTTTGCAACACATGTGATCTGTACACCTCATGCTTAAGAACTACTCGATTGTGCTTAAAAACAATCTCAATGTTTTAAGTAAATTTACAATTTTTGTTTGGGGCCACATTCACAGATGTCCTTGGCCACATGTCTTATCACCCTTATACAGCATTGTCCTATAACACCTAACCAGTGGGGGAGGGAGGTAGAAGGAAGGGGAGTCGAGTGTACATGACACACACACACATGTACTGCAATGAAGGAAGAAAAGTCTCTGCAGATGTGGGCCATAACGTAGTAAATCTCAACAGTCTGCAAAACTATAAGAGTAAGTGAATTGGTCACAGTAGAAAATCAACCCTTTCTCACTAGTAGCAATGAATACTTGAAGTGGAAATTAAAAATACTGCTTACAGTAGCACTAAAAACAGTTCTTAAGTAATAAATCCATTAAAAACCATGTAACATGCAGGAGCAGTTGACCATAGTAATATTGCTTTGGCCTCTGGCATTCATTCAGCACAACACCTGTAGAAATTTTTCACATTTTTTTTTATATCAACTCTCCCAGTTCTTATATTTTCATTTTTCTGGAGGGTTCCTGCTGGACCTTCCTCCTTTGGTCTCCATATCACTTAATTTTCTGTTTTCTTCATTTTTCATTCTGTGTCATTTCCTTGTGTCTGCCATTTCTTTTCACATCTCTTTTTAACTGTCCTCTTCAAGGGTTTTGTTTGTTGCATCCATAGGGTACTGGAGGATTGTTTACATAGGTGTCAATTTCAGTGTGAACTCATTTCTCATTTACAGCAGGGTGGTTTTCTACTATTGAAGAGGTAGTATCTATTCTACTAGTGTGTCCTGCAGTGGCTCTGGCGGAAACCCCATCTGACAGTTGCATATCTCTAAAGTGGCAGGAAAGCTGACTTGCATTTGTTGACAGCTTGAAGTTTCATATCCGTTTCTAAAATCTGAAGACTTCCTCTTCTTTTTATTCATTAACTTACCTCTCTTAACCATTTTATCTAATACTTCCATCTATACTATATGGCTTGAATATATATGCTATATTTAGTTTGGATTTTGGAAGTAAGATTTGTATAATCCTGTCTTGACTGGAACTTCCTGTGTGGACTACGCTGGCCTAGAACTTGAAATGATCTTCTTGCCTCAGTTGTCTGAGGCCTAGAATTGTAATTGTGAACCACCACACCACACCAAAATCTATTTTATGTGACAGAAGTGTTTCAGTTTCAAAGCTTACCCTAAAGGTATGTTCTGTTTTTGTAAGACACACCGTCACAGAGGGTGCAATTCATCCTTGGGACTGAGGACGATGATGAGGAGCATATTCCCCACGACCTCTTCACAGAGATGGATGAGCTCTGCTACAGAGATGGAGAAGAGTATGAATGGAAGGAGACTGCCAGGTAACATTGTTCACTCTCAGTTTCATGAATTGAAATTACAAGACAGAGTTGGTGATTTGTTTCTTCGTTTACTTATTTATTGAGGTAGGGTCTTGTTTTATAACACTGGCTGGTCTGGAATTTAGGATGTAGCCCAGGCTGGTCACAGACTTGTAGCAGTTCTCCTCTTTCTACCTACATAGTGCTGGGATTGTAAGAATGAGTCACCTTTCTGGTGCTTTAAATTTGAGGATTTACTTGTTAATAACTGGAAATTTTCTTTTGTTCTTTGCTCACAATTTATTTCCTTGAATGTGCTCATTTAGTATATTATAAAATGGTTTGTATGGCTGGTATTCAGATGTCTTTGAACACATTTGAAGCTGAAATCTTACACTGTGAAATGCTGCAGTTTTTGTTTTGTAGTCTTATTACTTTAAATATAAATTTCATTTGTCAACAATGGGACAAACTATGATGACCTATTTTTATATTGTTAAACTGCAAGAGTGCTGTGTGATGTAGGTGTCAGGTTTTGATGGCTACAGACAATATATATACCATTGGCCGAGTTTGTGGAAATGTATCTGAGGCAGTATTTTGTTCCAGTAGAGTGATTTCTTTTTTTTTTTTTTAATCAAGTTTATGTTGATGGCATTAAAATAAACAAATGGAATATCCATTGTTTTTTCAGTTTTTCTATATTATTCATTTAGGTGGCTGAAATTTGAAGAGGATGTTGAAGATGGTGGTGACCGATGGAGTAAACCCTATGTGGCAACTCTCTCCTTGCACAGTCTCTTTGAATTGAGAAGTTGTATCCTAAATGGAACAGTCATGCTGGATATGAGAGCAAGCACTCTTGATGAAATAGCAGGTTATATAGTAAACTGACTTTTACGTTTAAGATAATTAAACTGAGATAATAAGGTGTGATTTTAAGATATTCATTTAACAGCTATATATGGGAATTATTTTTTCAGGAGCAATGTAGGTTCGTGTAGAGACTAATGGGTTAAATTAGAAGTATGACCATGGCCATCAGCACATATGTGGTCTGCCCTCTGGGAGTTCAGAGGAAAGCCTTTCATAGTGAAAGTCCAGTGAGAATATTAAATATCTGCCTCTCAAATCAGAGCACATGGACATAAGAAGCAGGTATATAAGAGAAAAGACAGTGTTTATGGAGGAGTGTGAGTAAGAAGGAAATTCCATTGAGGTGTAGACAGTGGGACTTGGGAAAGATAGAGGGCTGAGAGTTTAGCTCTGTGTGCACAGTGCTCACCTAGCATGTATGAGGCCCTAGACTAATTTCTCCCCTTGCCCAAAAAAGGAATAGATTATGGTACTCCTTGAGTTTCTGGGCTGAAGCACTGATTTTATATGGTGAGCATTGGGGCAGTTATGATGATTAAGTTGGGAAAGGAGTGATCCTGACATGCTTTCAGAAGATTATCCTGGTCAGAAAATGCAGGGTGACTGAAATGAGATGATGATTGAAACAAGAAGTCCAGCTATATTGCCTTGGAGTTGTGTACGTTAGTGAGGCAAATGTTAGATATAGTGGTGGATGGACTTGAAGGGTTATACAGAGGGAGAGAGGAAAAGTGCAGAAAGTTGTGAGTATTTGACGACTTTGGTCTACAGATGCTCAACACTAAAATCATGTCTGTTTTATATAAGCACAATACTGGGTAGTCATTGAAGATTGCTCACACAGAAAACAACTGATTGAGTATTTTGATTTGTTAAGAAAGACACAAACTTAACTGTAATTTTTGGGCTATAAATAATTTGAATTTTACTGATTTAGATTTGACTATGTGCTCCAAATCTTTAAATTGTCAAGTCCCATTCTTGTATGAATGACTGAAAAACTGAGTCAGAATTAGGAATATTGTGTATGGACAGATGAGTCTCCCTTTCATTTTGTAGCTGTCACAAAATAGAACTTTTATTTTTTAAAAAAGAGTATTAGTACTTACTCTTAGACAGTTTCATGCCTATAATGTATCTTGATAATTTCTACCACCATATCTACTCACTCAGTCCCCCTAATACACCTCCTCTGACTTCTTCCTTGTCTTTATTTTGTTATGGCCCACTGAATCTACTTGGTGCTGTCTGATGGGTGTGGGTGTGCTACCATTCTCCAGAGTATCTCAATGTGATACTTTGACAGAGTTCATCACTTGTGTGATGAACTGTGATTATGCTAGCATTAAGAATTACCAATTAGGTTGGCTTTTCCATTTTTCTTTTAGGGTAATTTTATTATGGGTTTGAAAATTTGACTTAATATGATCTCTAACAGGGTAGGGGAATTAATTCAGTGGTAGAACATTTGCTTAGTGCATACAAGGGTTCCATCCCTAACAGAAAAAAAGCAACAACAAAGAGAGCCACTCTACCAGATTCTTGGTGCCATTGTTTAAAAATCTGTTAAGGGCATTTGTTGTTCTTGCAAAGGACTTGGACTTGATTTCCAGTACTCACCTGGCAGCTCTCAACTGTCTGTGACTCCAGTTCCAGGGATCTGATGCCCTCTTCTAATTTCTACATGCTTCTGCAAGCACATGATGCACATCAGGAATGGACACAAATTTGTAAAATAAATAAATGCATTTTTAAAACTTTATCCATATTTTTGTACATTGAAAATAGCACCTTGAAAGTATGCACAGTAGTGCATAGGATGGCACTAGCATCAGTCCTTTCATTCTCGCATTCCTTTTATTTCTCGTCAGAATACTTTGTCTGAGATTTTTCTCGACTTTATTGTTCTGTACACTTCTTTACTGCCCTGCTTCTAGCACAGCACAAAGAATAGGAGGAAATCATTGGAAGACCGTGCCATTGAATATTTAGCTAAATAGAATGAACTACTTTTAGCTAGATTTACTATGTCCATTTGAGAAAGCTGCCTCTTTAAAAAATACTACTTAGTAAAATAAGGTCTTGCTAACTATATTTTTTGTTGGATTGATAATGTTCATGTTTATCTTTATGCATATGCTTAAATAGTTTTATGTAGTAAAAATAACCTTTTTTTTCATTGAATAGATATGGTGTTAGACAACATGATAGCCTCTGGCCAGTTAGATGACTCCATAAGGGAAAATGTCCGAGAAGCTCTCCTGAAGAGACATCATCATCAAAATGAGAAAAGATTCACCAGTCGGATTCCCCTGGTTCGATCTTTTGCAGATATAGGCAAGAAACATTCTGACCCTCACTTGCTTGAAAGGAATGGTGAGATAAGTTGTGGTGTCCAGTTTTTGCTAACATTTCTTTAATGGCATTGCAATATATTATAATTAATATATGCTTCAAGAAAAGTGTGGTATTTCCAGTTACCATTTTCATTTATTCTAAGTTATCACTTTTACAATGTTTCTTTTTTGTTTGCTTGGTTTTGTTTCTTTGAGAGAGTATCTAACATAGGCTGACCTGAAACACTGTGTAGTCTTTGCTGGCCTTGAACTTGGTTTCTCTTCTTTAGCCTCCCAAGTGCTAGAATTGTAGGCCTGTACCAACAAGACCAATGTGAGGTAGAAATCACTTGACTGAAGAAAAAAGCATTTACTGTTACTAAAATGTCACAAATTTTCCTTAAGCAATCTATAAGTCCAGTTACTATCACATCTGCTTTTTTGTTTTGATTTGAGGTTTCTTTTGTAAATTATTTTAAAAGCATAAATTATGATCTTTAATTTTAATGTTTTTAGTTCTAAATATGTTTGAACTTTATGGCTTATCAGATTTTTTGGAGATTTTTTTCCCTCCTAAATATACTAGAAGTACTTATCATAAACAAGTGTTTTGGGAGCTGGTTTTGGATATTTATATACTTTGTAGAAGGTTTCATGATAGGTCTGTCTTACACAAATTGCAGACAAGTTGGTTCTTTTAATCCATTGAAAAGGGCTCAGACCCAGTTGTACCCTCCCTTTCAGAGGATGGTGGCATATTATGTATTATGTAGGACTTGGGGGAAACAGTATTTTTGTTTTTTAAATTTTACTTTTATATTATGTATGCATGCTTTGCCTACATATATGTATGTGGACCAATTGAGTGCCTGGTGCCTCAGGAGGTCAGAAGAGGACATTGGATCCCCTGGAACTGGAGTTAAAGATGGTTGTGAGTCACCATGGGGTGCCAGAAGCAAACCCGGTTTCTTTGGAAGAGCAGCAGGACTCTTAACTGCTGAGCCATCTCTCTTTTCCTCCCCAACCTTAAATAGCCAGGAAGCTGTCAGTTTCTTAGGATTAAAGCACGTTGAACATTTGCGTTTCCTTATCGTATGGCTCTCACTTGACTTAAAACAGAGCTGTGATAGTAGAACCTGGGAAGACCAGATGCAGAAGCTGATGAGGGTCCTTACTGCCTCTAACTGTGTCATTACAGGAAGCTTAGGAGGATTGCAAGTTGTGAGAAATAGAGTATGGGACACAGTAGCTTTCTGCTCTTTTTCTGTCCCTGAATGGCTCTTAAGTGGTCATCTAAATCATCAGCCATATGTTCAAGGCCTTGACGTAATAGAAGTTGACAGCAGCAATTACTTGTAGCTCAGTCTAAGATATTTTAGTTGGTTACTAAGGAGTCTTCTAATCTGTTTAAAATTATGATGTGGTACGTTTAAGGGACCTAAGTTTAACTTAGAAGCAAGTTGTACATGTTTCTGCTTTCATTTATTGTGTATTTTCCAGTGGGTGAAGTAAATTTATTTACCTCAAGGGCTCTACTAAACTTTTACTCCCCACATGCAGTCAGTGTTTTCTCTTTACTCTTTGTAGTTTAATTTCTTTTCATAGAAGACAATGGCTGTTTTCTTTTGAATGCATTTTTATTATGTTAATTTTGTTATATTAATTATAATTAATAAGCTCTTTTGCATGTATCTCTTTAAAAACTAAGTGATAGCTGTTTATGTATTAACAGTTGTTTCTATTAATTTAATTTAGTTGCATTTATCACATTTATTTTTGTTCCATTTGGATCTCCTGATCATGTAGCTTAGACTCCTTAGGCCACAAGAGATTGTTTAGTTACATTTCTTATACAACTACCATTTTGTTTTTAAAAGCTACGGGAGAAAGAATATTTTTCTGTTAAGCCACACTTACTAGTAGTACCAGAATTTAAATATTAAGTATTCCTGTGCTTTTGAAATATTCTAGAGTTACTTTCCTGTTGCTCTTGGTAAAATGCTAAAATGCTTTGTTTTTATCTGGCTAATGCAACGATTGTAAATAGTTGATTAACTGACTGTACTATGGTAGAAGTAAGACGTGCTTTGGAATAATAATTTAATTTAATTTGGAATAATGATTTAATGATTTAATTGATGATGTTTTCTTTCCTTTTTTTTTTTTTTTTTTTTTTTTTTTTTTGAGACAGGGCCTTACTGTGTAATCCTGGCTGGCTTGAAACTTGCTTTGTAGACCAGGCTAGTCTTGAAACTAAGAGATTCGCCACACCTGGCTATAATTCTATTGAAAAATAATTCTTATAATTTGTCTTATACTTTTAAACTTTGCTTAAGAGCACTGACCAGCCCCTGACAAACATTTAATTTCAGTTTTAAGTTAATTATTAGGTAATGCTAATGTGGAATCTTGTGAGAGATAATTGTCTATAAATGTTCATATTTAGGAAAAATATTTTTTAAATACACATGCAGTTACAGAACTGATTTCAGTTAACTAACTTTTTAGTGACACTATAACAGCTAAGAATCTGACTGACTTGATAACCCTCACAGAGGAATTTGAAGCTTGTGATTTGTGGTTTGAGTTGAGTTTTGTGTTTTCTATTTACTTAATGCAATGAATATCATTTTTTACTTACTTGTTTTATCTCAGGCGAAGGCCTGTCAGCCTCCCGCCACTCCTTGCGAACAGGTCTGTCTGCCTCAAATCTTTCCTTGAGAGGAGAATCGCCTTTATCTCTTCTTCTCAGTCATCTTCTTCCTTCTTCGAGAGCTGGAACCCCTGCAGGCTCGAGGTGTACCACCCCAGTGCCCACTCCCCAGAGCAGTCCTCCTTCCAGCCCTGGCTTAAGTCGCCTGGCCTCCAGAAGTTCCCAACAGAGTCAGCCTCAGGCCCCAGAGCTACTGGTGTCACCCAACAGGGATGATATTCCCAGAGTAGTAATTCATCCGCCTGAGGAAGACATAGAAGCACTCAAAGGCCAAGAGCAGAAGACTGAGGAAAATGTTGACTTCACTCCAGGCAACTGTGCAGAGTTCTCCACATGTGGTGCTTTCTGCCTCTGGGTCACTTGCACTGACAATGCCTGTCAGCACATAGCTTGAGCAGCATATGTAGATAATGCTTATGATTTGACTTCTGCATGTTTTTGTTCTTTACAGTGTATCACAGGAAAGAATAAAGTTATTAAAACTTAGGTTATAAAAATAGTATGAAGAAGGCTGTACATAAGTCAAGCCCATGATTATATATATTTTTAGAGATCACAATATTTGGGTGGCTTAGCAAACATATTTTTGATGTGACTCTTAGAAGGGTGGATTGTGCAGTTTACTTGTGAGGAACACATGATAGTAATGGAATGAGGTGCCCTTCATTTGTCTGATGCTTTTCTTCAAAGAGTGCACTGCAGTTTAGCCTTCCTAATATGATAGGATGCCATGTTGTTTATCCCATTCTCTCTCTGACAAAACTGAAATTACCTAATAATTGATGGGAGTCACTGTTTCAGGAGGAGTGGTATAGCATAGCACAGACTTTAGTTGTCTTTTATTTATGATTATGTATTAGTCCAAGTTTCCCCGGTGGTTTTCAGAACTGCAGGCTCTATACACGGGGTGAGTATCAGAACTGCAGGCTTTAGACTCAGGATGTGGACCAGAACTTCGGACTCTATACATGAGGTGAGGATCAGAACTACAGGTTGTAGACTCAGGGTGAGAATCAGATCTGCAGGCTCTGTACTCAGGCTGAGGATATAGTTTTGTAAATGGATTACAAAACTTGCTTATGGTACTGCAGAGGTCACTCTGGGTAAGACTGCATATTGCTCTTGCCGAGGACCTGACTGATTTCTAGCACCCTTGTCAGGTGGATCTCAGCTGTCTATAATCTTGCTCCAGGGGATCTGATGCCCTCTGCTGGTCTCTTCAGACCACTAGTGCACATGCTCACAACACACACATACAAATAAATATAAAATTGAGAGAGAGAACTTCTAAGGCAGTAAAGGGTTTTGTTAGTTGAGAATTGAGGTACGTATATTTTTTAATACTATGAATTTTTATAAAAAGATCAGTTTTTCTGAATAGATGAAATTAAAATGGTTGGATTTTTGAAGACAAAATAAAACTCATAATTACTGAGAAAAGCCATAGGACCAGTTGTCATCACTTCCTTTAGAACTGCCGTTTGCATTAAGAATATGTAGCCATTTCTAGCAGAACTCTGTGGAAGCTGATGCTATGTAGAGGAGGACTTCTAGAACTTGACAGAGCTGGGCAATGGTAGGAAGCTTCATTTTCTGCTGATTTGATTCTGAGTCAGCAGAATTAGTATCAGGAACCAGGAAACTGTTTTAACTTAGCTGAGGCTTAGAAAGAGTACTCTGAGAATCATGGTAGAATGCTTTTAGTTTCTTTTCTAAGAACAAGGTTTCAAGCTAGCATTGAGCTTCTGATCCTCTGTCTCTACCTTCCAAGTGATTGTGTTAACAGGAATGTGCCACCATGCTTGGCAGGTGAGATGTTCTTAACATGCACTGGCCATTTGAAAGCAAGGACAGGTTGAAGATGATCAGCATAGCCAAGTAACTTCAACTAATTTCTACCTTTGCCACCATTGAATTTTACTTTATTTATTTTTTTTCCATTTCTACTGACTTTCCCCTTCCCCAGCTCTACAAACCTCTTTGTTCTTAGCTCTCAAATCCAGTGGCTAAGTCATTCTAGAAACTGCAGTATGTTCTTTTGATTATCCGTAGAGTACTTTTGAACAGTCAGTAGTTTCTAGTACTCAGTCAGAGTTGTCACCAGGATTTTAATACTATGCTTCTTCATTTTCTTGTAGTGATTGTGTTGAAGCCACTGATAAGGATAATTCCTCCTAGCCTCCTTGGGCAAAGAAAATCCACTAGTTTAGAAAGCATAGGGACAAAGGTTAAAGATGAGGAATCTTAATAACGATTCCATGTTAAATCAACATTTACAAAAGTATTTATTTTAGGAAATACTTTTTATTTCAGAATTCCTTAATTTGAGAATTACATGGCTGAATCAAGTGCAGTGCTTTTTATGTTTTTCACTTACATTGATACCCCAGTTTGTTGACCAGAGAAGTTAATATCATAGAGGACTTGAATGCAGAGTTGAAGCAATGAGCCCAATGCCTTAATTTTGTGTTCATTAGTTATAATTACTCTATACTAGAAGAATAAACATGGTTGGATGTATCAAGTATATCTGATATGCTTGACATTGCAGAAATGGTTACTAATTAACAAATGACTGATACTGACAAATACTAACTGAATTTCTATAAAACAGTAGATTATATTGTAGTCTCTTCCTCTTAAAATGTTCAGTGTTCTTAACATTAATTAGTTTACATTCTTGTACTAGAAGGTTTTTTTTTTTTTTTTAATCTTCTAAGGAAAAATGAGATCTATTTAGTGGTAGATATCTCTGTATGATAAAACTTGGATTTAAAGTTTTTGAGATTTGAGCTTTTTATAGAACTTTTAGTGGTAAAGATAGATTAGTCTAAGGTGATGCTTTTAAGCTGTCTTACTATGAAATGCTGTTGTTGAATGTCACCTGAAGTGAAAACCAACATGAACATGCATCATTTATATTGCAAACAACAACCATGTTAGTCACATGCTAATTTATAGACTTGTCGGAACCATGGAGGTTGAGTGAATTATTCAATCACTTGGCTACAATAAGAGATGAGTATTATTTAGCCCTAATTCTTTGATTATGTACTATTAATCTTTGTACTGGGAAAACTTGTTTATGCCTTAGGTTTCTTAGGAAGAATGACAGTAGAAATTAGATATAAGTACTCCTGAAGAAAAATCAAAATTCTTAAGGGAACATGATTAAGGAAGATTAAAAGTAGCTTTTAAATTTTCTGAATTATACTTGTAATTTATCAAAGAATTCATATTGGTACTGATCTGAGTGTTTTAGGTGAAGTTAAACCTCACTAAGTTCAATACAATTCACAAGAGCTAGAGATACTCACAAAGTGTGTTACCTAGAAGAATTTGTAGTCATAAGACTGGTCTTAGTTCAAATCTTCTGTAGTTCCACACTGACTCACTTCTTTTTAAATGGCTACTGTGTATATTCTATAATGCTGTAAATATTAAGATACATAACTTTATCCTGTTCATGTGTTCTAATTCATGTTGCTGGTATGAAGCTAACATCTGGCACTTTTTAACCTCACATTTGCTTTCATAATAAACCATCGCTTTAAGGACATGAGCAGAATCAGGCTACACAGTGGATTTTCTCCTTGCTAATTTGGGTTTTGTATTTTCTTAAATACAGGGATTTTGGCTTCTCCACAGTCTGCTCCTGGGAACTTGGACAATAGTAAAAGTGGTGAAATGAAAGGTAATGGAAGTGGAGGAAGCCGAGAAAATAGTACTGTTGACTTTAGCAAGGTAATTCATTAATTGTAAATTTTCAGTAGCTTTCCCACTGAGAAAATAACTAGTAATGTGTTGCTTTGGCTATCACTTACAGTAATTGTTTAGTAGACTGTGTTTACACATGGCATAGGATGCCTGTGAGGTGTTAAGGACGTAAACTGGGATAGGCTCCTAGTTCGTAACTACATGCTTAGAGTTTCAGTTTTAGCAGTTGAGATGAAAACACTGTAAACAGGATGAATTTGTCTTTGTACCTTATCATAGATACCCTGAAACTTGGGTCTCTTTGAAGAGGTTTTACTGGGAGCAGCATTGCAGCACTGACAGAGCCTTCTCCTGGGTTGTACCGCATCCCAGAATTACTGACTAATGGAGTTAGGACCTTCTGGAATGCTACTGGGAAATATGGGTAGATAGAGGCGTGGTTTAAACATCAAAACCAACAAACTCCTATGAATTTATTTTGTTTAATGAGTAATTCATTGAAATAAAGATGAAAACAGAAACAACACAAAAAGACCCCTTGTTTTTAAGCACTAAGCTCGAGTGACAGCTGCATTCGGAAAGGAAGTACACTAGTTTGCTGCCTGTTACTTTACTATTAATGCAAGGAACATTAACATTTCTACATCTTATTTCTAAGGCTTTGTTCTAAGTATCAAACACGATCTTTTTTTTTTTTTTTTTTTTTTTTTTTTTTTGGTTTTTCGAGAAAGGGTTTCTCTGGGGAGATTTGGAGCCTATCCTGGCACTCACTCTGGAGACCAGGCTGGCCTCAAACTCACAGAGATCCGCCTGCCTCTGCCTCTCAATTGCTGGAATTAAAGACATGTGCCACAAATACCCGGCCAGGATCCATTTTTTTTTTTTTTTTAAGCTTTTTATTCTATTTCATAGTGTGTCCACAAATCATGCACACTTTACTGAAAAAAAAAAAAAAAAGCTTAAGTGATTTGTAGTTTTGTGGAGCTTTGTATTCTCACATTATAGAAAGACTGGCCATTAGGGATTTTGACTATTTGGAAAAAGTGTTCATTTAGGAATGATGGCATATGCCTATAATCCTAGTTAACCAGAGGCCAAGGCAAGAGGATCTCAAGTTTGTGGCTAGCCTGGCTTACATAGTGAGATCTAGAATACCCTCAACTAAATAGCAAAGTCTTGTCTTTAAAAACAAACAATTCAAGGCCGTTACAGTTGTCTTTTCTAACTTATCTTCTTTTCATTAGTGCTCTGTTTCAGATCATCAGAAAGTGTTCCTAGCTAAATTGGAATTTATTCTTTGTGGCTGAATAAGTAAATATAATTTGCATTGTGGATCTTGTCTAGGCATGGCAGTTGCAGTTGATCTTTGTTCCTCTGTCAGTTTCACTTTTTTACTTGGCCTGTTCTTGTATACCCTCCCTGTCTCTTGTTGGGCAGGAGTCTGCCTCCTGGCACTGTAGTTGTGGCACACTGGGAGTGGGACTCAAGAGGCCCTCTGTAAGTGCTGGTTTTATCTTTTAATAGATAGTCTTGTTAGTGGTCGTTTAGTAACTTGTGTGAACCTGTGTATAAATGAGAGCTTCACCTACTCTGGTGTCATGTTTGTAACTGTTTTGTAATTATACACAGGCAGCTGAGTTTCCCTTGCACATTGTCTGAACTAATCAAGATTTTCATTGAAAATAACATTTTTTCCATTTAAGGAAAATACTAGGAAATGGTAGGTTTTTTTTTTGAAGGAGAATTTATGAAGACATATGAAACAATAAGACTTAATAATGGAAAAGCATTCAATGAATATGTTGTAGCACTGTGTATAATTTCATGAGCCATTGTTAGTTTGTTCACTGTATGTCCTCACCAGTTTTTAATGAATAGTCTATTCATTGAAAAGCTTTCAAGTTTGTTTGATAATATAGTAATAAAGATTGTAGTAGTTAAAACAATAGATGACGAATTTTGCCTGTACTTTTTGTATTTGTCTACTCCATTCTTTATATCTGTGGGAATTTTGGCATTTATACATCTTTTGGATCACAAGGTTTGGTTGGCAGTAGTAGTTTTAAAGTTATTCTTTCATTCATCTCTAAGTAATCATATTTCTAAATTACTCATTTATCAATAGGTTGACATGAATTTCATGAGGAAAATTCCCACAGGAGCTGAGGCTTCCAATGTTTTGGTAGGAGAAGTGGACTTTTTGGAGAGACCTATCATTGCATTTGTGAGACTGGCTCCTGCAGTTCTCCTTTCCGGGTTGACAGAGGTCCCTGTGCCCACTAGGTAAAAAGCAGTTCTCCTTCATAACTGTTCATATGGACCCACTGAAAGAATACTTGCTTTGTGTAATAGAGGCACTGTTTAATTACTGATTACTGATATTCAGTCATTGTGCCAAAATGTTTTTGAGTATTAGAGTGTAAATTACCCTCCCTCCTCTAGCTCTTACCTCCTTTCATTCTGCAGCTGACGTGGAACTTACTATGTAGCCCAGGCTGGTCTCTGATTCCTCCTTACACTCCCAAATGATGAGAACGTAGCTATGAGTCACCTTCTCCCACTGTAATAATATTGTGTGAAAATAGCTGTTTATTTGTATCTTTATAAGAAGTTTATTTTATGAGTTTTTGTTTTACAAAGCCAGTCATTGAGATTCATTTTTGTGCTGGGGACTCAGAAGGGAGCTTGTTCATGTTCAGTTCTCATTCTGTCCTGAGCTATGCTCTAAGCCCCAGTTTGTCATTTTAGACATGCCCATCCTTTGTGTATACATGCAAAATTCTTTGTTCTGGCCTGATGGAGATTTTCCATTCATATACATTGAGTGTACAAATTAATCTGGATTGAGACCATAAAGAATAATTACAAGCTGTGTTAATCAGCTTATGAGCCATGAAAAGGACATCTCTGCAGGTCATTAGTATCAGAAGCTTAACTGCAAATGTGACTTGTTTTGACAGTAACTGTATTTTTGTTTGAAGGTTTTTTGTTTTGTTTTGTTTTAGATATAAAGTCACTTGTGTGGCAAAGGTTGACTTCCTATCATTGGCAATCCTTCTGCCTCAGCCTCCTGAGTGCTGAGCTTCAGGCATGTGCACCATTCTAGGGGAATTTTTCAGCAGGGAGGCTCCACAGTACCATGAAGAGGTGTGGTTGATAATGTATTCTCATGACTGATTCAGTAATTAAGATAAGAATTAATAGGAATTTGATGGAGGTATACTTATTTTGTATATATTTACTTCATTTTCACTAATGATACAGTGTTGATAAGTGAGGAAAAGTATTTGATTACTTCATATGTAAATTTTCATAAAGCAGGAGGATAAGTATTTAGATAAGGATATTAATTTTTAGATAAGGTTGAGGAGATAATGATGAAACCCATTATTTTGTATGTTAACCTACAAAGATAGTTAAAATATTAATATGCTCTAGTGTTAACAAGATACAACTAAGTACTTTTTATTTAACACCAAAATAGTAACAGGTCTGATATTGAAGTTGCAAATCCTTTTTCCTCCCAGAAAGGTTACTTGACTAGATGCCATATTTATAGTGTTAACACTTTGATCCAAAATAGTTTCAGACTGCATATTTTTTGTGTGTATATTCTGAATTATTTGATTCAACCTTACTCTCAAGAAATCAGTGTAGGACAAGGGATGTGGCTCAGTTGGTAGAGAGATTGCTTAGCATACACAAAGCCCTAGTTCAATTCCCAGCACTACATAAACCAGGTGTGGTAGGACACACTTATAATCCCATCACTTGGGTGGAGGAGGTTGCAGTGGAGGCAGAAGGATCTATTTTTTGTTGTTGTTGTTGTTGTTGTTGTTGTTTGGGTTTTCCAAGGCAGAGTTTCTCTGTGGTTTTGGAGGCTGTCCTGGAACTAGCTTTTTTAGACCAGGCTAGTCTGGAACTCACAGAGATCACCACCACCACCACCACCACCACCACCACCACCACCACCACCACCCGGGAGGCAGGAGGATCCAAAGTTCAAGGTTACCTGTGGCTATATGGTAAGTTCCAGATCAGTTTGGGATACATAATCCTCAAAAAAGAAATCAGTGTGGTGCTGCAAATCTGTAACCCAACACTCGGAAGACTGATCAAAGAGTTTGAGGTCAGCCTGGGTGACCTTGGGAGACTTGTTAATAAGATCGTTTCAACTTTGCTTTTGTTGTCAGTTTAGTCCAGAGTTAGTTGTTTAATCCAGAAAGATATAAAAGATGGAAAGTTGAATGAAAAACATTTCCTTAGTAACTGTTTTGCACTAAGGAAGCTGGGAAAGGGATAAGTTGGTAGAGTTAACTGTGAATGCCTTTTATGATCTGAATTTTGTTTGTTTTGGTTTGGTTTTTGAAAATAGGATCTCCTGTAGCTTGAGCTGAGAGGATGACTTTGAACTCAGATCCCCTTTGCCTCCCCCTTTCAAGTGTTGGAATAGCAGGCTTGCCCACCACACTCAGTTAAGATCTGTTTTGAATAGAATTGTCATTATTTTCTTGATTCTTTTGGGTAATACCAAAGGTCTGAGTGTTGTTTCTGTGTTTATAATAGAATCATTTTTAAAAGTTTCCTGTATTTGTGTATATATGTTGTTTGTTTTAAAATCTGCATATTTTAATCTTTTCTTAGGTTTTTGTTTCTGTTACTGGGCCCAGCAGGGAAGGCCTCACAATACCATGAAATTGGCAGATCCATAGCCACTCTCATGACTGATGAGGTAATTAAAATACAGTCAAATCCCTTTGCGCTAGACAGTGAATATACAATTATAGTCCTTCTTTTTCTCATAGTAGAGCTTATAAAATTATCTTTGATGTATGTGCTGTTTTATTTCATATTTACTCTTACAACACATCTATTTGTTGAGGGTTTTAATACCTATTTCTCAGGAATAGTGGGTAGTTTTTCATCTATTTTGTTGCTATTCTTTACTTTGACCTCATTGACTACATTGACATTTTGAAATTTATTAGGTCCTAGATTTCAGGATGTTGCTTCTTTAGGTTTCCTTGGAAATTCTGCTCTTTCTCCTTACTTCTCTCTCTCGGTTTTGTGATATCATGTTTGGCTGTAAACTCTTTAGTTATGAGGACTTCCGCTTTAGCTTCTAGCAGTGCTTGCTGGACATTCCAACACATCTATGTCGGGCACCAGAAACCCTGTAAATCTGAATCTGATCTGTGTCAGCTACTCATAGATTTCTATAATCACTGCCATTTCTCTGGCTTAGACTCTGACCTTTACTGTGGCAGTTGATTTAATGGATTTTTATCTTTGGAGTTTCTTCCTTATATTGACAGTAATAACATGTACATATGTACATACAGGTCTAACATCTCCCTATCCAAAATGTATCCATAGCCTCATTACTTAAAGGTTTTTTTTTTTGTATATAACCCCACACATTCTTCATACTGGCTACATAGCTCAGGTTAGCCTAGCTCTTGGCAGTCTTCTTAGCTTAGTCTCTCAAGTGCTGGTATAAAGGCATGAAGCACCACATTTGCTTTAAGTTCAGATTCAAACCCTTTCCTGGTATTGTCAGTGGACCTTACACACTTCTCCAAGCTTGCATCCTGATACTGCCTATCCTTCACTTTGCTTTGGCTAAAGCAGCTTCCTTTCTGTTTCTCTGATAACTTTTGCTGTTTGTACCCCTGTACATTACAACTATGAGTTCATCTTCCTAAGTACTGATTCACCATCCACCCTAACCACTCTACCTGTGCTGTGATTTCCTTTCAGATATCACTTCTGTTTTGTTTTTGTTTGGTTGGTTTGTTAGCTTTTCTTGGACAAAGTCTTGATGTGTAGCCTGGACTATGTTCAAACTCACATCTCCTCCTTATGCTTTATGTTGCTGGGGTTATTAGACTTCTCAGCAACATTTTTGTTTGGCTGCCTGTCTTTCTCTTGTCAGCTTTCCACTCTGTACTTTGCTTAATTTTTTCCTTGTTTGAACATTTTTTTTTCCCTCTTGGAAGTTTGTCATTCTGTGTAATTACTTAACTCTCTGTTCTGCCTGGACCTGGAAAGGTGTTTTTTTTTTTTTTTTTTTTTTTTTTTTTTCTAGTACACAGCTTTGTGCCTAGCAAACCATAGATAACCAATAAATATTTATATTTATTAAACAAAGTAACTTCTTTGTCTATAATTATTCCTTCAGGGTAAATAACACTTTAATGACAGAAATAGAATGACCTGATATTATTGTAATGAATTAATTTGTAGTGAATTGATTTTTATCTTTGTAATGAATTTCTATTTCTCTTTATGTCAATGTATCATTTTCTTTGGTTGTTTATTGTTGATTGATATGTTAATACTAATGATGGGCTAACTCTTGCTAGGTGAGGTGAATGCCTGCAGCTGATGAGATTTTGTGTTACTTTTATTATTTATTTTACATTGTATGTACATGTGCACACCAGAGGCAGGTATGTGCACATGTGGGGGCAGGTCCCATGGTGTCCACAAGGTTGTGTCATATCCCTCAGAACTGAAGTTATGGACAGTTTTGAGTCACCAGCAGTGTTTTCTGGAAACTGAGAGTGTGCCCTCTGCTTGCATGCTTGCTGTTAACCACGGTAACAGTATTACTCTAGCCCAGTATTTCTGTGTCTAAAGTGAATTTTAATACAGGTATATCTTCCTTTCCACTGTGAAATCCTTATGCCCAGTATCTTCTTTTCCTTAGATTTTTCATGATGTAGCTTATAAAGCAAAAGATCGAAATGACCTCTTATCTGGAATTGATGAATTTTTAGATCAAGTAACTGTCCTTCCTCCAGGAGAGTGGGATCCTTCCATACGCATAGAACCACCAAAAAGTGTTCCTTCTCAGGTAAGAATCTAGATATGCTTCTGGAGTTGTTTTCTTTTTTAAGTTAAAAACTTGTATTAAAAAAATGTAAGTTATACATTTTTATGACTCAAAAGTCATAACTATTTACAGTGGATGTGACTTGGTGGGTATATTTTGTCAGCATGCCTGAGTCCCCAGATTTGAATCCTGGCACTGAAAGTGAAAGCAGTAGAAATGAGAGGTAGATCAGAGAGGATGTCCCTGTGTTAGTATGTCCTTTATGTGCTCTTATCCCAAAAAGATGTTTGTCTCCTGTCAGCTTTGTGGTCAGTCTGATAATTATCTGTACCTGGACATGTGAATGTTAATACTCTGCCTGCTTTTTGGTTATTTCCATAATTTTAAGTTGATCAATATGTACACACTTTTTTTTTTAAATCTCTCTTCACGTGCTGTTATTAGTACATTTGTTTCAAACACAAAAAATTAATGAATTTGGGGTGATGGTTCTTGAGTGCTTTAAATAATATGGAATAATTTGTTTTTGCAAGTTTGGGAAATTTCTGGTATACATTTTTGAGCTACATCTCTTGCCCAGTGTGGACTTGAGCAAGTTGCTTCGTTCTTTTATGAAAGTTGACTCATGTGAGCTTTTCTTCTTTCTCAGGTCAGTTCTGATTCAGTTTGCCTGGTATATCATTCATTTTGCCCAGATTTTAAAATTTCTTGGAAAGTTTATCTGTTAAACTTTTCTTGGTTTGTGGAGTTACATCCTGACATATCTTGGGTTTGCCTAATAGATAAATTATTTCTTACATTTTTTGAAGAGTAGTTCCAAAATTATTTTATATTTTTTTAAATGTGGGTTTTTTACTGCTGTATTTTATCTGATTTATTTTACTTCCACTATCCTTCAGTAAAGATTTATTTTCTCCTTCTTTGCCTAACATATTTAATTATTTTCCTTTTAAAGTTTTCCTTTTTTACATTTTGCCTGCATATAAATGCATCACATGCATGACTGGTATCCAGGATCAAGTAACCCAAAAGTGGAGTTATGCATAATTGTGAGCCACCATGTTAATACAGGGAACTGGACACAGATCCTTTGAAGAGCAGCCAGTGCTTTCAACTGCTGAGCTATCTCTTCTGCCCCATCCTTTAAATTTTGTTGTTTAAAAAAAATTAAAGAAATTTTGTTTTGTTTTGGTTTTTTGCTTTTTGTTTTGGGACAATGTTTTATTGTATGGCTTTGAGTAGGTAGCCTGGAACCCTGTATGTAGACAAGACTAACTTAAACTTGTAGTGATCCTCCTGCCATAGTGTCTCAAATACTAGAATCTTATGTAAGAAAGAGCCATTGCCTGATGATAATGTAGTATAGTCTTTTGTTCTTATATTCTTGTGCTTCTATAATGTTTTGTGTTTCCCCTTTTGCGTTGGTTTTAGCTTTGACATTTTCAAGTGGTGATCTTACTTTTTTTAATCTAAGTTTAGCTACTCTATGTTAATAAAGTGTTGTGTATTGGGTCCATGGGAGCCTTAGACTTCAGGGGAGCACTTAGAACCACACATGTCTAGTGTGTCTGTCTTTTGCTCTCTGCTTATTCCATTCCTCTTTCCATTATGTGCTTGTCTACATGTCTACACATGGGTATTTCTTTAGCCAGGTCTCTCTTGAGGTAACCTGTGAAATACTCCTTTTATTTTTACATGGAGGAGATGGTCCTATATCTTAGAAATGGTTTTATTGATTTTTTAATAACATATGAGGACACTGAAGGAATTCCTGTATTATTTTTCTAAGGAAATTGTTAGTGTAGGGAAAATGTTGCTGGTCCCCCCACCCCCTTTTTGTTGAAGTATAGGATCTTTACATAGCCCTGGTTGATCTTGAACTCAGGCTTTCTGCCTCAGCCTCTTGAGAGCTGGCAGTGCAGGTGTGTGGAGAAAGTACTATCTTTGAAATTAATGTAAAATTGGTTCTTTGGTAGTTATCTGTATTATTGTAAATATTTTGGTGAAAAATATGCTTCTTTGGGAGAATGTCTATTTTCCTAGCTGGGCTGGCTGGTGTCAGCTTACCACAAGCTTGAGTTATGCAGGAAAGAGGGAATCTTACATGGCAAAGTACTTCCATAGGCTAGTCTGTAAGGCATGTTCTTGATTGATACTTGATGTGTGATGGTGTAGCTCACTGTGGGTAGTGCCACACCTTAGCTGGGTGGTCTTGGAGCAGACTGAAGGAAGAAAGAAAGAAAGAAAGAAAGAAAGAAAGAAAGAAAGAAAGAAAGAAAGAAAGAAAGAAAGCAAGCAAGCAGGCTAAGGAAGCCATGAGGTGCAAGCCAGTAAACAGTGTTCCTCCGTTGTCTCTTCTCCAGTTGTTACTCTTAAGTTCCTGGTCCTGACTTCTCTTCATGAAGGACTACGATCAGGACATATGAACTGAACCTTTCTTCCCCAATTTGTTTTTAGTTATGGTGTTTTATCACAGAAGTGGAAATTTTAACTAAAATAAAACAATAGTTATTGCAGAACAGGAATTTGAAATGGTATATATGAGTATATCTTATAGTACACTGATGTTAGAAGGTACAGAAAGCTCATTGTAAATTTAAATTTTAAACAGAAATTGATGGTAAATTCTAAATTACATCTTATTTTTGAATGTTATTAAATGTTAGGTTATACTAGGAAACATTTTTCCCAAGCATGCTTGTGTAAAGTCGTCATGAGCTGTAATACTCCCTCAAACTATCTCAGATACCTTGTCAATTTTCTGAAAATTGAATTCTGAAAGTATATTTTTGTGGAATTCAGGAAAAGAGGAAGATTCCTGTGTTTCCTAATGGATCTGCTCCTGTGTCTACTGAGCCTCCTAACGAGGCTGCTCATCATGCTGGGCCTGAGCTGCAGAGGACTGGACGGTAGGTACAGATGTTACTTTGGGGGATTAGGCATTGATTTGATGGAAAGGCATCAACAGACTTCTCTTTTAACTCCTCAGATATTTGGAACTGAATCTTATACATTATTTCTTCTAGGTTTTGTAAAAATGCATTTTCTGTAAGATGTCTGACATTAATTTTCATGTGCTTTAAGAATAGTTTAATAACATATACCAATCGTTACCTTAAAATGAAAATAGTGGGACATTTATTCAAAATTGTAGATGTTATAGTATGTGGGTTTTTGGTGACTTTTACAAAAAGTTCTGAAGAAAAAAAACAGATTCTTTTCCTAGTTAAAGAATTATGAGTTGAGAGAGGAAATACAGTGGATGATTTTTATACATTGTGCATGGATTTAAAACTTATGTGAACATTACCTTTTAAATACTGTAAAATTAGATGGAGAAATCAGCAAGTTAATTTCTAGAGTAAAGGATAGAAATGTTGCCAGGTAAAATGTAATAAAATATGTTTAAAATCCTTTGTAATAGATGATTGTGGCAGCATTTACATACCGTATTGAAGTAAAGCTATTGGTATTGCATGGGTTACTGGTAGTCATGTGGAACTGAAGGACCCGGAGTCAAATCTCTGATAAAAAAAACAGACACTATATTTACACAGACTTTAGAGGAGCTTAAATTCACAACCAATGACTAGTGAAATGTAGGAGCCTTTGTGAATAGTGCCAGTAGTGCTAGTCTCCTATGGGCTGTAACCATTTCTTTAGTACTTTAGAGATAGAAGTACCTAGTTAGATGCCTATCCATCTCAAGCACCTGAGAGCCTCCTTTGCCACCTATTAAGTAATCGGTTGTTTTATTTGATGTTGGGGATTTATTTTCTACATTGTCATTGGTAGCTTTATAATCAAAAGCTGATTGCTTTTATGGCAGATTATAGAATCACTTCTATTATCAACATACCTTTAGGATTTATTTTAGTATTTAGCTTAAAAAATTAGAATGGTAAAGCTTGAAGCATTCAAACCCTCAAAAGCTTAAGTTTAATATTTATTTTCTTGCATATGGTATATACATAATCACCCACTTCCTGAGTCATAAGATTGTTCTGAATTTTCAGTTCAGCAGTATTTATTTGGTACCTTCTGTATAACAGGTAGGATTCTGCTAACTGGAAGCATGGTGTGCTTATATTTTATTGGAATATTTTCAAATTAAATATATCTAAAAGCCTAATTTTAAAAATTAAAATGGTATCATTTTGATGTTTTACTGTAAATATAGATTTTTATTCCCACTAAACCCTCTTAGTTTTATTAATATACATGTGATATATATATATATATACATACATATATATACTCAAATAAATAAATCAAAGAGTTAAAAATAGTTATTAGTTGACTTCTATATTAAAGCTTAGCCTACTACATTCACTCTAAGGACTGTGTAGGATATAATTGCTTTCTCTGTATTTCTGTCCATTGCCTTTCAGATCTATATTACAGACAAAGAATAGACTTGCAGTTGCACATTTACATGAATGGCTGGTTAGGTTTTGTACATTGTATATTTACTTGTATATATTCCTTCAAAGTTACAATTACCCCTATAAAGTCATTTGCAACCTTTGAGCATATAATCCATGATATATTATGTTTCCATTAACTTAATGAGATCTATCTTTCCTCTGACATCATTTCATTAGAGTCAATGAGTGTATCTTCTATAAGTTATACCATGATTTAAATTTTTATTGGCAAAACAGTAAGCACCTACAATTTTATGTAGCCAATAGATTTAGTTTGAATTAGTTAGAATCCTCTAGTCTACAGCTTGACGAGTTTCATCTCACCTATTTAGGCTTTTTGGTGGTTTGATACTTGACATCAAAAGGAAAGCACCTTTTTTCTTGAGTGACTTCAAGGATGCATTAAGTCTGCAGTGCCTGGCCTCGATTCTTTTCCTATACTGTGCCTGTATGTCTCCTGTAATCACTTTTGGAGGGCTGCTTGGAGAAGCTACAGAAGGCAGAATAGTGAGTACAAAAGATTGGTAGTGGCCAGGCTCCCAGCTCCTCAGAGGCAAGTGTCTGTATGCATTTGTCTCGATATTCGTGCTTGTATTTGAAGAATCTCCCCACAGCATTAACCTGTCCCAAAGCAGACTTCCCCCAAAGGTAATTGCTGTGGAAAACATGGGGAAGCCATTTGAACAGGAGAAGATGCACAGTTGAGGTAAAAACAAACAAAGAAACAAACAGTTTATCCTACCTTGCTTGATGAAATGGTTATAAACTTGAGTAAGACTTCCATTGTCTTCTGGGGTAGTGGGTGGGTTATGGGGAGATTAACTTCTCTGGGTGGGTTAGGGTGGGAAATTTACCCATGGGGATCCTCCCCTGTTAGTTACCATAGGGTTAGAGTTATGGCTATATTTAACTCCTCAGCCCCAGCTGGTGACTGAACTGAGATCATTTGAAGCAGCAAACGTTGTAGACAGGATAGAATTTTGAAGTTATGTTTATTTTCATTTTGCCATTTAATCTATGCAAAAGTCGCCAAAGCTTTTATTTGTAATTGGGTGCTGATTCCCTTTCCCCATGTGAATGTAGAGTCCTGTTTGCTGTACTTGCTAATAATGTGGTAGGAACTGGTGCTTCATAACATCTTGAATGTCATTTTATGGGAAGTATAAGTATATTTTAATGGCATTTAAGTGACATGATTTATAATTCTTGATTTCTGAAGTTTGCTTTAATTTACTCTTGAAAGAAATTTTCTATTTTTACAGATAAAAGGTTAAAACAATAGCTAAATCTAAGTGGTGACATTTCATTTATAAAGTCATTATCTTTTTCTGAACAAATGAAAATTTCTAATTCTGAAATTGTTTTTTACCACTTAGATTCCTTTTTACCTTTTCCTTTTGTCATTGTTCATACATGTTTTCAGTTGCTATGCTGCCAAAAATAGTACGTGTAACTCTGCTGGCCACTGTGGAAATTTGATTTAGCTATTACCTCTTGGAAATACTGCTGCTTGACTCATGGACTGTCACTTCCTGTCTTCTTCTGCCCTTTGACAGCATGTACCTGAGATAATGTGTTTTGCACTGGAGTAGGAAGAGAGACAAATGTAGCAGAGGGAGCCTAACCAGAAAGATAGATAGGAAATGGTAGCTCATGTTCCCTAGACTGTTTAAATGAGAAAGGACAGCTGGGGAATTGAAGAGACAGAAATAGTGGAAACAAGCATTTTACAGAGGTGTGTGTTTCCATTGACTCTATAGAAATGGACTTCTTAGGAGCTTACTTTCAGAGCTGCAGGAGACCATTCATATGCCAATGAGGATGAAATTGCCATTTAGTTATAGGGAGCATAGGAAAGGTGGAAACTCAGCTGATTTATTAAATAGAAGGAGTAAAGTGGTCCAGCAAGTTAGTGGGAGACTTAGAATGAAGAGTATGGATGTAAGCCTTCCATAGTAGGGAAAGGTAGTTTGGGGGCTTTATGGCTGTAGGTGTGGGAGTGGTAAAAGAGTTTCTGGTGGCAGTGTCCACATTTTTAACCCACAACTTGGGGAGAGATCTATAGTTTGTGTTCACCTGCTCCATTTGAGTTTGTGATGTCCCTCTTTTCAGTTTTTGTGCTTCCCCCTTACCCTCCCTAATTTCACTTATATGCTTTTACCTTTAACTCAAGCTCATCATAAATTCAGTCTTAAAATGCACATCTTTTAATATAACTAAGGAGCTGGTGATAGCATACCAGTGTTTTGTAGTGAAGCCCTATTTTTCAGAGAGAAAACAAATTTATTCTTTATGATTAATATACATTATTAATATGGATGCTTGTTTTTTCATGTTGCCATTGATTCAATTATGTTTTATTTTGTTACTTTATGATTCTGTTTTGGAAGACGCCTTTAGGGTTGATGGTGAGAAATGCTAACTTTGTGTGATATGCCCTAGGTAACAGACAGGGTTAGTGAGTGCCTTCATAAACACTAGTGGGGTTCTCCTAATTATCATCACCCCAATTTAAAAATGAGAGCTCATAGACTACCAAGTTGCTCAGGGTTGCATTCCAGGTACTGGCCAGACTTCCAGGGCAGCCCTGTCCTTGCCAGCTGTTGTGCTGTCTCTTGTTTCAGGGGCTTTGTTTCTTACAACTTCTTGTCTTCCTTTACCAATCCTGGGCTTTCTCCTTTCTGAATAGCACACCCCAGTTGGCCTTGATGCTTAAGAATGGTAAATTCTTTTCCTTTCTCTCTGATCCTACTCTTTGTCTAGTGGCATTGTGCATTGTCATTGCTTCACCATCTAACCTCATTAGCTAGGCTATAATGCTGATAGTGAAATAAAACTTTACTGTATCTTACTAAGAGCTCCTCTGAGGCTTTTGTTTTTCCATTATTCTCATTCTGGTGAACTTTAAAAATAAAATACTCATTATTTCTGTGAATTTTTTGCAGAATGCCCCCCCACTACTTTATGTTACCTATATCATTTTAGAGTAAATCAATTAAGACTGTCATTTTAGATTAATTTTCAAAAAATAGAAAGTTGCTTTTGTTTAGAAAACAGAGTTTTACTTATTTGGAGATTCTGTTTAAATCACCATATTGAATATTTAATGTGCTTTTTATTTTTAGAATGAGAAATACTTATTTCAGTCATATAAATAGTAAAAATAACACACATGCTTTTCTGCTTGCCCAAGCTTAGAAATAAAACACCACAGATGAAATTGAAGTCCTGTTTTTTTTTTCCCTTTGAGCCTTGTGTCTTATGTTATTGAATGTTCACTTAAGGATGATTGCCAAAAGTTCAATTAAGTATGCAAAAAAAGCCATTTTCTTGATGTACTTGATACATTTGTAACTCCTTGGCTAGTGTCTATGTTTTCCAGATGCTGTAGTATGTTAGAGATCATTTTTTGATGTGTTGCCTCTATTCATTTTCCCTTGAACAGAGTGCAATAGAGTCTCTTTTTGGAGCATCATTAACTGGGATTGCCTATTCATTGTTTGCTGGGCAACCTCTAACAATACTGGGGAGCACAGGTCCAGTCCTAGTGTTTGAAAAGATTTTATTTAAATTCTGTAGGTAAGTAACAATTATCCTGTTTTGCATACCTGTCAATTATATGTTATATTGTACAGTTTATGAACTACATTTAGCTTTGTTAACAGTGTGTGTATTTTTCAGTATCTTTTGGTACTTTATATGGTTGTCCTACCAAGGCTCCTACTACTCCTCAGTAATGTGGAAATGAGGCAAAATAAGATTACCTATCAATACTCATTTAATGGATTTAAGTATTGAGAAGCAAATCATTTGAGAAGCAATAAAAATACTTAGTGCTAGCAAAATTAAACCAGCAAAATGTTTATCTGAACTGTTTGTTGGGGGAAATGTAGATCTTATTTATACAGGATAGAGTGAAGTAGATCTTGAAAACCCAGGCTGGCTTTGCCAGGTAGTCTTGTGTAAAGAAATAAGGTCTCAAAGCTATCAGAGTACAGCTTTAGTAGCTATGGCTAGGCTGTTCTCGGTATGGGCATACTGTAGCCAATAGACTTTGAGTTCAACATCAACAATACCATTCCCTATATGACAAATGTGCAGTTGAATATTTTAATTTGAAACAACATAGCCATTTGAATATTTGATTGTTGTAATTCTCTCGCTCTGATTCTCTGCTCATTGACTAAGCTGGTTCTAATTCTGATATGGCATGCTCCATTGACTATTAAGTAGGGAATGAAATGACTTAAAGTATCCCCTACTTGAAATTAAAAATAAGAAACTACTTTTTTGTAGGGATAGTGGTAGGTAAAGGAGAAATAGTGATGGCAAGATATTGGGGTGGCCAATGCCTTTACCTTTCTGACACATGTGGATTCTTCATCTTCAGAGAAAGTCAGCCATAGTTGTTTTTAACCAGTCATTTGTTTGATATAGCTGATTGCTAATGTACAGTCTAATGGCTTTATACCTTTACTGCTTGGCATATTTTTACTGTAAACTTTAATATAATAACCAAGTCTCCAGTTGAAGCAGAAAAACAAAGAACTTAATCTAATCAGTATTTTAGCGATTTGGTAATTGATATTTTTAAAGGAATCCTGTATTGCTTGTGTTCTTACTGCTTGTTATGAAAACTTTAGGTACAAATGCTGTTCTGTATGTCTGTGGTGATCATGTCCCTATCTATATTTCTAAACAGAGATTATCAGCTTTCCTATCTATCATTAAGAACCAGTATTGGTCTGTGGACTTCTTTCTTGTGCATTGTATTGGTTGCAACAGATGCAAGCAGCCTTGTGTGTTACATTACTCGGTTTACAGAAGAAGCTTTTGCGGCTCTCATTTGTATCATATTCATCTATGAAGCTTTGGAGAAACTCTTTCATTTAGGGGAAATATATGCATTTAATATGCACAACAACTTGGATGAACTGACTAGTTACACGTAAGTGCTTCTATTTCTTCTTTATGTGTTATGTGATGTTTTTTAGTCTTTTGGCTTTTTTTTTTTCTCTTTTGGGGGTCCTCCACCCAGCTCCCAAATAAATCACACATGGGGTCTTATTATGAATGCCCGACCTTAGCTTGGCTTGTTTCTAGCCAGATTTTCTTTTCTTAAATTAACCCTTCTATCTTTTCCTTCTGGGCTTTTATCTTTCTTATTTCTGCAATCTTGTGTTTGTTTGTTTGTTTGTTTGTTTGATTGAGACAGCTTGTAGCTGTAGCTTTGGAGCCTATCCTGGGACTTGCTCTATAGACCAGGCTGGCCTCAAACTCACAGAGGTCTGCTTCCCGAGTGCTGATTTCAATTTGTAGGACTCATATGGTGGAAGTAGAGAACTGATTTCTAAAAATTGTCCTTTGACCACTATAGAAGTGTGGTGGCATGCCCTGTTTCCCCATAATAAATAAATGTAATAGCATTCAAAACAAACAAAAACACAGAAAGGGCAATCTGGGTGTGGTGGCTCATGTAGGTAAACCTTGAGTAAGTTTGATTGCAGGCTGGGCTACAAAGAGGCAGATAAACCCAAAATAAACAACAACAAAAGACAGATAGGCCATCCTTCTTGGCCCTAACCCACAGATCCCTATTTTCTTCCCTTGCCTCAATCCTTGCCTAAAGCCCCTTGTTACCTTTTTTGTACTGTCTTAGCTTGATGGACAAAGTAGGAAGGTATCTGAAATGACCTTGTGACCCTGGCCTACTTGAAAATGCTAGACACTTTGATGCCCAATATCGTGTAGTATCTTTGCTTTTAAATGGTAATGTTTTGACATTTACAAGTGGGTAGTTGAAATAGTTCTAGACTTGGATTTAACTCTCTGATCTTAAGCATCTCCTATCTCTTCCCCATGAAAACTATTTTATTTGTTGAAGAATGAGTCTTACACCTGAGAATGTAGTTACTGATAGCCTATCATGCCAAGGTTCTGGGTTCCAATCCTAGCACCACAAGGGGGGAAGGGTTCCTTTTCTTTTGTTCAGGATGCCTAACGAGTCAAGGATAACCTTGAACTCCTATTCCTTCTACCTCTACCTCCAGTGTGCTGGGATTGTAGTTTGTGCTACCATCCATCCTTAGAATGAGTTTTAAGATCATAAAAATTGAGCATTAGTACAGTGGTCCTGTGGGTCTTGTTGGGGCATCAAGAGACAGCAGTTAAGTGCTGTGGAGGCCAAGGGGATAAGACTTAGTGGTAAATGGTCTTACTGTAAACATGGTGGTGTCTTTTTATCCTTCCCAAATATTATATCCAACTAGTCTTATTAAGCAAATGTGTCACGGACAGTTGTATTAGTTCTAATGTCACCCAAACATTACTCCATTTGGTTGGTTGTGACATATTTTCACTTTCTCCTCTCCCCCTCTTTTTTCACCTTTATCCCCCTCCCAGCTCCACTGCCCTTACAGATGTTCCCTTCCCAACACAAACACATTGTTTTGTTTTGTTTTTTAAGACAAGGAACACTCTGTGAAACACTACCATGGCTTAGGACTTGGGGTACCCTGCTTCTGCTTGCTGTTTTACTTGCTACTCCCTACTCTTGCTACATGGAAAAAATGCTGAGATGTTAAAAGCTACAAACTTGTGCAGTTGACTTGAAAAAAAAAAAAGTTAAATGTAAGATTTTTAACAATTTATCTTGCTCTGAATTCTCAGATGTATATGTGCTGAGCCGTCTAACCCTAGCAATGAAACTATAGAACTGTGGAAAAGAAAGAATGTGACAGCAGACAGTATTCTCTGGGGAAACCTCACTGTATCCGTAAGTATATTAGGGATTGAACAATATTTTAGGTCCATGGGAACCTGGATATTATCTCGTCTTGTTTATTTTAGTAGTTTCACGCTGCAACCTAGGATTTATAGCAGTCCTCCTCTTTCAGCCTCCCCTGTGCTAGGAGTCAAGATGTGAACTTCCATGTCCAGCTTTTTTTAGTCTTTTGTAATCGTACTTAACTTTTTTTCTTGAGAATGAATATGTAGATTGTTTTCAGAATATGTTGTTTTGTTATTTTTTATTTATGTGTATCTGTGTGGGTGTGTGCATGAGTACAGGCACCCACAAAGGCCAGAAGATGTCACATCCCTTGGAGTAAATGTGCTCTTAACCTCTGAGCTGTCTCTGCAGCCTGTTGTTTGATTTTTAAGTGATGTGTAAAGCCTCAGACCAGTGCTTCTCAACCTCCCTAATGCTGCTTCTACATTTTAACACAGTTGGCAACCCCAATCATAAAATTATTTCATTGCTTCTTCATAACTGTTACTTTGCTACTGTTAGGAGTGATAATGTAAACATCTGATATGCAGGCTGTGATCTGTACATCTGTGGGGTATCAACCCTCAGGTTGAGAACCACTGCCCTAGACCCAGGGCTTCACACCTGCTAGGCAAGTGCTTTACTGCTGAGCTACAGCACCAGACCAGAGTGTGGTGTTTTCACTAAACTTTTAAAATGAGCACTTTACTGCTCATGAAAGGCCATGTTTTAATCCCAGGTATCCAGTCAGAGCTAAGTTGGTTGTCATTAATTTTTCCTGCTTTTTCTAGGGGAGGGTGAGTGGTAAAGTTTCATTTATCCCAGGTTGCCATCTAATTATAAATAGCAGAGGCTGGCCTTGAGTTCCCCGTCCTTCAGCTTCCCTTTGAAAGAGATAAGGGTTAAAGATGTATGCCACCATGCACAGCTCCAGTTTTCTTTTAAGGCATAAGGCAGTGTTCTGTCCATGCTCCATTCAGCATTTATCAAAACTGCACAAGTGATTTTCTGTCTGCTGCTTTTATTTCACCCATCTGTAGGATAGTGCAGTTGTGGACTGTAGGGATTCAGAGGAAACATTTCACAGTTAGCACTCATTGTGAGCTTTTCTCTCAGTTGAAAGGAAGGGGAACCTTGGTGTAATACTCTGTGGTGACTTTGATGGGAATATCATAATCTCTAATTGATGATGTGGTGTGGTTAGCTTAGCAGTAGCTAGCTTTCTGAGTAGAGCATAAAATTGATATCTTACATTGAACCATGTTCATGAATACTCTTTTGGATACTTGAAAATCTCCATCTCCTTCCCTCTCCTACCCCTCCAGGAGTGTAAGGCCTTCCATGGAATGTTTGTGGGATCAGCCTGTGGTCCTCATGGGCCTTATGTTCCTGATGTGCTCTTCTGGTGTGTTGTCCTTTTTTTCACGACGTTCTTTCTGTCTTCATTTCTCAAGCAGTTCAAGACCAAGCGTTATTTTCCTACCAAGGTAACTGGGGTGAATTTTGGTAATATTTATGTTTTCATTTCTTTTGGCTTATTTCAAAGCAGTATTTTTTATTTAAAGTTAATGTTTTATGCTATAAAATAAATTCTTTTCAGCAAAAAAAATATATCAGAGGCAGACACAGATGATCTCTGTGAGTTCAAGGCCAGCCTGGTCTTTAGAATGAGTTCTAGGATGGTCAGGACTGTTACACAGAGAAACCCTGCCTCAAAAACCAAAACAAAAACAAAACTATATATATATATATATATATATTGCATATCTGAGCACACAGGAGGAAGATAGTACTGTGAGAAAGTGTAAGTTAGTTGTGACTTTTTTCTTATGTTTTTGGGATTAAGTGAATGTAGACATATATTAAACTATTGTTAAAAGCCTCATCCATGTATTGGGGACATGTTTTATGAAGAAAGTACATGAATTATTTAGAAAGTACAAGAGTAATTCTGTGTTTATGTTAATATAATTTCTTTACTGTAGGTACGATCAACAATCAGTGACTTTGCTGTGTTTCTCACAATAGTAATAATGGTTGCAATTGACTACCTTGTAGGAATTCCATCTCCTAAACTTAACGTTCCTGAAAAGTTTGAGGTAAGTGTTAAAACAAGTGGTTATTGGTTTTTTGGAAATACCAAACCACTTAGTGAGGAAAGAGCTTGAACATAGGACCTTGTACTAATTAGGCAAGAGCTCTCATGAACTGCAGTTCTCAATTTACCTTTTGCATTGACAAATATAAAATTAAATTTTAGTACCTTCTACCTTCCAGAGTACTAAATTCTCTAATTCATGTTTACAGTGTTTGCTCTAAAAATCAGTGTGATATTCCATCACTGAAATGTGTTTGAATCTGATAAAGTGCTGTATTATTGTCCGTAATTGCTTTGTGCTAATTGTGACTCAGTACCAACCTTGCTATGACCACTGGTTTCAGGAATCTAACCCAAGGTGCTTTAGGAATTGATACAAGAGAGTATATTTCACCATTTGTGATGTATATAGGTTCATGTTAAAATGTCATTCTAGTTTACTTGTCCTGTATCTGTATGCCAAAACCTCATCAAAACACAGTCTCTAAGATGGGCACTGTGGTTCATGCCTTTAATCTCAAACTGAGGATGTTGAAACAGGAGGCTTGTGAGTTTGAGGCTGACTGGACTACATTCCAGGCCAGTATAGGCTACTTAGCAATGCCTCGTCTATCCATAATAAAGAAATTCAAACAAACAAAAACCCCAAACTGCTAGTCTCTAAACAGTAACCCTCTGTTTATAATTCTTCAGCAGTTGGGCTTGCCCAGGTGAGGTGTGATCTGCTCAGCAGGTCTCACACTTTTCACATGTCTAGTCATCTAGTGGTTTGGTGGGAACAATCTAGCTTCATTTCCTGACCTGGAGACTCAGCTTAGGGGCCTGAAACAGTTGGAGCGGTGGTCTTTCTCTTTCCTGCTTCTGTTTTGTATATTTCTCTCCAGAAAGCTTATTCAGCAACACAGTCATCTTAGAACTTTAGCGGGGAGTCAAGGAAACTTCAGGGCTTCTTGAAGTCCCGACTGTCAAGTCACTTTGGTCTTTGTGTATAAGTTACAAAATGGTCTTGAGTTGAAGAAGAGGGGATAGGTGCTGCTCCACATGAAGAATGGGCCGGTCCCAGGGCAAGGGCATGCTTGTAGACACAGGATGAAGTTTCTGTGACTGTCAGCAAATACTTTGCCACACATCCTAATTCAGCTTCTTTTCTGAACCTTGGCATTTCATCGAATAAAACATTTTTCTTTATTTTTAAACTTTAATAGCCTACTGATCCAAGTAGGGGCTGGATCATAAGCCCCCTGGGAGATAACCCTTGGTGGACATTACTAATTGCAGCTGTTCCAGCTCTCCTTTGTACCATTCTCATCTTTATGGATCAACAGATTACAGCTGTAATCATCAATAGAAAAGAACACAAACTCAAGGTAATTCTCACAGATTTCTTTAAGAGCTTGGGGTCTTTTCTGTAATAACAAGACTATTTGAAAATTAGTTTATTTTCTTCTTTATAATTAACTTGGAATTTTAATATAAAGGAACAATCTAGACTTAACAGTCTTCATTTCCCTCTTTAGAAAGGAGCTGGCTATCACCTTGACTTGCTCATGGTTGGTGTCATGTTGGGAGTCTGCTCTATCATGGGCCTGCCATGGTTTGTGGCTGCGACAGTGTTGTCTATAAGTCATGTCAACAGCTTAAAAGTAGAGTCCGAATGTTCTGCTCCAGGGGAACAGCCCAAGTTTCTGGGGATTCGTGAACAGCGGGTTACAGGGCTGATGATTTTTATCCTGATGGGCCTCTCTGTGTTCATGACTTCAGTTCTAAAGGTAAAACCCTTTGTGGTAGCATTCTAAAAATCTTCCTTAACATTCGTACTTAATTGCATAGAAATAAAACATTGAAATATTTATAGAATATATAAAATCAGTTTTCCCCCTGTAACTTCATAGCCATACAAATTTAGAAATATCATTTGGCAATGTTTTTTTTTTTTATTGGAAACATGTAGATTAATGAATTTTGGCCTGTGGATCCATCAGTTACAGCCTACAGTTGGAAGGAGTTAATCAACATGTGGTTAGAACATAGTACAGGAAGTAATTGGAAACAATACGAGAAAAATGTTTTGGTTTCTTTAAAGTACTGTTATTGAATTTATTATATTTTTTCTTGATATAGCACATGAAATAAAAGTAGTAAGTAAATACTAGAAAAAAATAAAAACAAGATTACTGTAATGATAAATCTTTCCAGCAGCTGCCTGATTTTCCCTACCACATTATGGCTCCCAAGTAACACACAGAGTCTTATGTTAGTTACAATGCTGCAGGCCAATGACAAGGAATTCTTATCTGCTAGTTTAGTCTTCATTATCAACCATAATTATTAATCTATATATTTTATAAAGACTTATCAAGGATGCCAGCCTTATGTGTCCTGTCTCCCTGGGGATCACATGGCAACTCCTTCTCTACTACATTTCCCAGAATCCTCCTCGACTCCTAGTTCCACCTATCTTGCTTTCCTATTGGCCAACAGTGCTTTATCTATCAACCAATAAGACAAACATATACATAGAAGGACTTCTTCCATCAGATTACCAAAGTTGAACACATTTTTCTCACATCCATATTTTACCGATGTATACCCTGCAAAATATAGCCCTTAGAAAATAATTATGTGGCATAATATCTAATCTGAAACTGTTTGTTTATTGTGTAAAAACCCAACTCCATGTTTGTTTTTGCTGTTTTGGTTATTTTTGTTATAAAGAAAATGGGTGAATAAAAGTTGTCACCACTGTAAACTAGAAGAAACCTATGTGTATTAGCTTTAAAATGATATTTTTTTATTGTTGGAATTCCTTGGGCTTATTTCGTGGACTTTTTAGTAGCAAGTTTAAAGTACCAAGAGTCTGTGGATGCTTTCAGTGCCCTTTGACACAGGGGATAGCAATAAATAGAGTATAGTATTATCTTCCTGTGAGACTCCACACTCTGCCAATAAAATTGATAGGTAAATGGGCAGTTGTATAGTGCTGAATGTATTTTAAAGGAATTTGGAGATAAGAGAAGTGTTTTTTGTAGTCTTCTGGGGGTGACGGCTCATTGCATCTCTTTGAAAATTGCCCTTTAAGTCTTATTATAGTTTCTTTTTGTTTTGTTTTTTGTTTTTTAAGACAGGGTTTCTCTGTGTGCTTTGGAGCCTGTCCTGGCACTCGCTCTGGAGACCAGGCTGGCCTCGAACTCACAGAGATCCGCCTGCCTCTGCCTCCCGAGTGCTCGAATTAAAGGTGTGTGCCACCAGCGCCCAGCCCTATAGTTTCTAAATATCTAATGAGTTAAATACTGCACATAAATAGAAAAATTCAACTCAAACATTCAGAGAACCCTAAAATGAAACAATCTCAACATTTGTTTTTCATTTTTCAAAAGCAACTCTTCAGAGACAATTCTTTTCAACTTTGTGATTTAAATTTTTTAAAAATTGTGTGTGTATGTACACAAATACAGGTGCACATGTGTAGTGATGGTAAAGGTCAGAGAACAACTTTTGTCAGTTTTTGTCCTTCTGTGATGGGTTCCAAACCATATTTAGGTTGTTTGGCTTGCGTAGCAAGTGCTTTGACTTACTGAGCTTAGCTTTGTTGTTTAACTTACTCTGGTAGTATTTGGGTATGATGGTTCTTGTCTATAGTCCTAGCATTTGGTCAGAGATAAGGTGGGAGTAGGGCTAATAAAGAATTGTTGTAAGTTAGAGGATAGCTTGGACTACATAGTGAGCCTCTGGGCCAAGTTGGGCTCAGTTTGAGTCTGCATCACAGTTAAATGGCTGGCAAGATGGATCAGTTAGCAAGTGCATGTGCCAATGCCAGGTTTGAAAATGGAGTTTCATTCCCAGAACCCACATGGTCTTGCTTTTGACCTCCATATGTGTGCTTGAGTACACATGTGCATTCACACACAGGGAAGGGAAGTAGGGGAAGGGAAGGAAGGAAGGGATGAATCTTGAATGTAGTTATAATTATATTTTTACACTTATGTTTATAGCGACTTTTTTTTTTTTTTTTTTTTTTTTTTCCCTAGAACAGAGATATTCAAAGTCTACTCCATGAACTTTTTGTAGTCCTTGGCATTACCTGGGCCTTCCATTACAAAGGCTACATACTGCAAAAGGCAGGGTTTTTTCATGTATGTCATTCAGAAAAGGATATTGTAGCATGTTGAAAAACTCAGGACGCCTTGATTCCTCTTAAGCAACCACTGAAGATATTTACAGAAATGTACAGCAGTGCTTGTCTTGAATTTCACTTTGTTTTAGAAATAGTAATCTGTCGTAGAAATGTGTTCTTGGGCATGGCTCGGTTGGTAAAGTGCTTATTGTACACGTGTAAATCCTGAGTTCAGATCTCCAGCACCCATGGTTAAAGATCCTGTCATGCTATCACCCCGGACACGTATATCCTCTGAGCTTGTTGGCCAGCTCTTTTTGCCTAATGGGTGAACTCTAGATTTAGTAAGGGACCCTGTCTTTGTTATTTTTTTTTAAGGTAGAACATGTTAGAGGAAAACACCACACAGCTCACATCCACGTATACATAGATAAGCGTACCTCCACACAAATACTGTTCTTTATGCCAACTTATTGTAGTTGTATTGTATTGTATTATGGCTGTCATTTTAAAACTGATAATAGCTATTTAAAATATCTTTTAATTTTACACACAAAGCCAGGATTTCTGCTAGAAATCCTGCTAGGATGGGTGTTTGTTATCTCCATCCTTCAAAGTTTTAAGGACTTTATTAGTAAATGTGGTTCTGCTGCATTGGTACTGCCAAAAGTAACTTGACACTTTACTGACTGGCAGTCTGTCAGCTACTTTGTTGAATGTTCTGTATTTAAAGAAATTTAATTACACAGCAAGCTGATGGCTGTGCTGAAGCACGAAAGACTGTGTTGTTTAAAAAGTTAAGTAGATTTTAAACTAAGCTGTTGCCCTTTGCTCTTCATACTTGAGTGTACTATCTATGAACAATGTTGAGATCAACAGACTCTCAAATGTATAAACAATATACCTGTCTTCTTCCTTCCTGTAGAATGTTGGTCCAATCCTTATCACAAGAGAACTTTCAATTCTGTCACCATACATCCATGTTCTGTATACTTATTATTGTAAAATTATTTCAGTACAATGAGTTCTAATTGTACTAATTTTATTTACAGTTTATCCCAATGCCAGTTCTATATGGTGTTTTCCTTTATATGGGAGTTTCATCATTGAAAGGAATTCAGGCAAGTATTTAATAATGGGACTATTTAAAAATTGCAGAAGTTGTACTTGTGACTATTTTTTGCCTGGTTATATCAAATCCACATTTACTGAGTGATCATTGCTCACTCTGTTTTTACTTTAAAGAATGAGATGATTAATTCACCTACTTTGACTTAAACCCAATGAAATGTCACATCCCTGCTCAGGAAAGGCTAGTATAGTGAGGGGGGAGGATCCAGGGGTCAGAATGGGAAGATCTTTATCTCAAGTGGAGACCACTTTGAGCATTAAGAAAGAAAGGTTATACAAAAGTGTTGTCATAATGAGGCCTAGTACATCAGTTGTTTTCTCTAAGTCTTAAAATGCTGGCTGATGGAGGGGAGGAGGAGCCTTTTCCTGCTTTATAAACCAGTACTCTGAGACAGTCGGGCTTCTGTGCTAAGGAAGCAGGAGTCAGTGCTTGCTGTGCTCTGTGCAAACATTCTGCTAAAATGTACTCAGTATTAGACAGACAGACCTGAGTAGAAAATGTGTAGATAGCACAGGGAGCCAGCCCCATAGTGGCTACCTCTTGTCACACACACACACACACACACACACACACACACACACACACAATGTGTCCATAGTCACTGGTGGTAACAGAGGTGGCAGCACTTCCCAAAGCCATCTTTTTTTTTTTTTTTTTTTTTTTTTTAAATCATGTCTCCCATGGTGAAGAAATGATACTATCTCACTCACTTGACTTTTTATAGCAGTTTTGTGAGATGGGTAGGTTGATTTTACTTCTAGTTTATAAATGAGGAAATTAAGTTCAGAAATATCCAATGAATGAATTGGGGATTTACCTTCATAGCCTTAGCGGTGTTAAACTTGAAGAAACCTCAGAATACTGTTAGTAGTTAATTGTGCGTAATGGAAGCAGTTCAAAGAGATTATGTGTATTTGGAATTTGATCATACAAAGTAAAATATTTTCTTTGTTTTTGAGACAGGGCAAGCCTCCTAGGCTGGCTTGAACAGTTGTTTCCTGCCTCAGTCTCCCAAATGGTAGGATTACCAGTATAGACCACCCCTCCTTTCTTTTTGGATTTAGAGACTTTTTCTCGAAACATTCTTCTGTGTTATCAGAACATACCAAAGAACTTAGAATTTCATTTAACACACATACACAAATCCTAAAAATTATAATTTCTTACATAGCAAAAATGGTTTTTGTTGATAAGTTCTGCTCTGTTCCTTCATTACATTTGTAGTTTTTTGACCGTATCAAACTATTTGGAATGCCTGCCAAGCACCAGCCAGACCTGATCTACCTCCGCTATGTCCCTCTGTGGAAGGTGCACGTGTTCACTGTCATCCAGCTGACCTGCCTCGTCCTACTGTGGGTAATCAAAGCCTCTGCTGCTGCAGTAGTTTTCCCCATGATGGTAAATTTTCAGTTTATTTTGTTACTAATTCATAATATAATTATCATTTTCATGATAATATTTGTAATTGACTTTGAGGAAAAAATAACTCCTTTAACTAAAGTATTTTAAAATGTAGATGAACTGTTTCTAGCTATAACTAGTACTTTGCATCTGGGTATCTTGTATTGTGAAGTTGCTTATTTTTAATATTTTATTCCTTGGACTATAGGGCTCTATTTTGCAATACTGTGTAACTACAGAACTTAGGACAGTCATAGAACAAATGTGATAGGGAGATGTATAAAGTGAAGCAACCACAAAACATCTTGATTTTGACATGAGATGTTGCGGTGTGTCTTTTCTAGACACTGACAGATGAAGAAGTTGAGAACTTACAACATGCATAGAGGATTTTAATAGGACACAATCCATATAATTCATTAAATCATCATTTAGTATTGCTATTTTTGCATAAAGTATTTAGAAAGCTTAAGAAGAAAAGACATGTAGCCATGGATGCACAAAAGATCCAAATGGACTATAATTTTACCACAAAGAAATGTATTTCTCTCTTGGATTATTCAAGTACCCTCAGAATATTCTCCTGACCTACAAAGCCTAAAGTATTTACTAACTGGCCTTTTACAGGAAAATACTTATTGGCCCTTGTGTTATAGATGTTCAATGAACTTAAGAAATAGTACTTTTTTAAAAAAAATTCAGGCCTGCTAATGAGAAGAAAAGTGTTTCCTTTACTTAGGGGACATTTCACTCAGTTCAGGTTCAAGGTCAACACTACATTTATTACTAAGACTAGGGGTGTAACTCAGTAGTAGTGTTGCCTAGAATGTGTAAAGACTGAGTTTGATTCTTAGCACTGAAAATAAAGAAGGAAAAAGCAAGCAAACCTTTATTCTCTGTATTATTCCAAAAGTTGTCTATAAAAACCATTCTTGGTTCATGAGCTCTACAAAAATGTCTGGTGGCCCAAGTTTGACTTAGGACCTATGAGTTGCCACTTCCTCATTTACAGGAAGTGGATTATTATCATTCTGTGTATGAATTTTCACAAGTAGCCCAAGCAAAAGGGCTAAGTATCTGAGAGTGCCAGGCTCAGGTTAAAGAACTTTTAAAGCTCAAGACACTGATTGTGATTCCAAATCCAAGAAACACTAGTAAAATCTCAGCACCAAAACCGATTGAAATTGTGAAGACCTATGGTGTTTTCGTACGATTAAATACAATCAGCTTAAAATGCTAATATGTATGCTCAACATTATTTCTTAGCATCATATATCATAGTAAAGCAAATAATGATACTTTAGCATCAAAAGGAATTAAGAGTATCTGGATAAAAACAGATACTCTGTTCAGAAGTAGTAGATAATATCTACCTCAAAAGTAGTGTTGGAAAATAAAAATTGTACAGTAGTGGCCAAAATCAAGAAAATGTCTAAGGGTAAACTGTAATAAAAAGGTAAACAGATTTTTTTTTTAAAGAAAAAAGCTTTGTAATAGTACTTGCAATTACTTGCAGCTCTTTTATAAAGTTTCACAATATGTGTGACTTAAAACTACAAAAATTATTACAAATTCTGGAGACTAAAAGTGTGAAATGAGATTGTGGCCACAGGAAGGCCTTCTGATATCTGCAGGGAGTCCCTCTTCCTAGCTGCTTGTCTTGTTTCTTTCCCTCCAGCTTCATAGCTACAGTCTAAATTGTCCCAGCATGTTCTTCCTGTGCCTGTGTTTGCACATGGCACAATCATTTTATAAGGACATCAGTCCAAGTATTGTAGATGTGTGTTTCAGGATGGAGGTGGTATCATTGTAAACCCGATAAATCAGTAAAAACGTGGTTCACAAAAAATGTTGTGTATCTTGTGAGTGTGGGTTACATGTGTATAATTGTTATGTGCATCCAACTGTTTCCTGCTCTACTATACGTAAATTATATTTTTGTTAAAAATCAAGACTTGCAAGTTACAGAAAATGAGAAGTTAGTTAAGTATAATTAGGAATGGAGTTTTGCTGACTACTTAACTTTTCTGTGCTTACATCATTCTCTCTGGGCAACCAAGTTTGCAAACTACTGTGAGGTCCATACAATATGGAACTGGCATAGCAATGAATGAGGAAACCAGAGAAATAGACTAATGGGACCAGAGATTGTCTTTATATATAACTGTATTGCAAGTGGAATACCATGGGCAGATTATTTCATTAAAGGTGGTCATTTCATTCATCAGAAAGTTTAGTATATGGAGTTGAAAGAATTAACTACTATGTAACATCTTAATAAGGAAGAAATCCTAAGTGAACTCAAAATTTGAGAGGTAAAATGAAGTTGTAGGAAAAAGGTTAGGTATGTATCTCCATCCCAGTGGTTAGATAGACCTTTTAAAGAACATGGGAAAACTTACTGGTAAAAGAAGGGTAAATTTATTTAGCCATGTGAAGTGTTTTCATGATAGCAGGCATTTTAAATAGAGTTGTGAATCAGAAGAAAATATATGTGAGACACAAAGTAATGGAAGGTTTCTACTAAACTAAGTAGTACACTACGAAGTTAAAAGTTAATTTTAAAATGAGGGGAAATCAGTAAAAGAGAAAGAAAAAAAAAAAAAAAAAGCAAGCAACAGTAATGGAAAGCCAGTCAGGCTCAGCAAGCATGCACATTCTTGTCAGCTATCATAGGATAGCAAGTTCACATACACCCTTTCCTCTCAGCTCATTGAAAAACTGAAGCTCAGACCTGGGATCAGCTATTCTAATGAACTATCTAAGAGTTGCAGAGCTGTTTTCATGATAGGGATTTATATGATGTAAAAATCTTTATTGAGGGGCAGAATGGCTTTTTTTTTTATTGTATTCCTATGTGCTGTTTTTGTTTTGAGTATACAATTGGAAGATGCAAATAAGTAACTCTGTTCCGTTCTACTGCTAAACTAATTTTTAAACAAAATGAATGCAGCATTTCCTATTATGTATAAGTTTTAGCAAACGCTTGCTTTCCTCTTTCAGTGTATGTATTATGTTTCTCTCACTCATCTTCTTCAGGTTCTTGCACTAGTCTTTGTGCGTAAGCTTATGGATCTGTGTTTCACAAAGAGAGAACTCAGTTGGCTTGATGATCTCATGCCAGAAAGTAAGAAAAAGAAAGAAGATGACAAAAAGAAAAAAGAAAAAGAGGTAAAAAGACAATCCTTTGTTTAATGATTTTTGTACCATCTCAAAGATACTGTTACCATTACTGTATTTTAATCCTTCAGCAACATTATAAAGCACAAGTACTGCTAACTATTCTGTTGTACTGAGATGAGGCAGAGGAATAGGTAACCATACCCAAAGTACTGCTTCTCTCTGACACAAAACTTTTTAAAAATTGCATATTCTGGCTAGGTGGTAGTATCTTGAGCCTTTAATCCCAGCACTCAGAAAGCAGAGGCAAGCAGATCTCTGTGAGGTTCATGCCAGTCTGGTCTACAGAGTAAGTTCCAGGCCTGTTACACAGGGAAACCCTGCCTCAGAAAATCAAGAAAAGAAAAATGCATATTTTATGAACTAAAAACTAAGAATTGAAGTTTCTAACAGTACTAAAACATGACACAATAATATTATGTCTGATTTAACTTTAAATATACTGGGTGTGTTAGCGTGTAGCACAATAACAGTATTTTAGTGGTCTGACATACACACTAATGAAGTTTAAATATGTTTAAAACTCTATTAGGAACCTGGGAAATGGTTCATTAAGTAAAAGCATTTGCTGCACAGGCATGAGGACCTGAGTTCACAGCCCTTAGCACCCATTTAAAAAGCTGGGTGTAGCTATTTGTACCTGTGATCACCGCTAGACAGGAAGCCTAGCCCCAGATTCAGTGAGAGAGCACAGCTGTATAAAAGCAATAAATGGCTGGGCAGTGTTGGTGCACACCTTTAATCCCAGTGCTCAGGAGGCAGAGACAGACAGATCTCTGTGAGTTTGTGGCCAGCCTGGTCTACAGAGTGAGTTCCAGTTCCAGGACAGGCTTCAAAAGCTACAGAGAAACCCTCTCTTGGAAAACCAAAAATAAATAAGTAAATGAATAAAGCAATATATGAGGAGTATTTCAAAAACTTTATTCTGGCTTTGATGTTGTTTTTTAACTACATTTGTGCTTTTACTGAATAGGAAGTAGAAACTAAATATGGTCTTGTTGGTTGTATTCCTGCCTTAATTACTATGGCTGTGATGAAACACCATGACCAAAGCAGTTTAGGGAGGAAAGGGTTTATTTCATTCACAGTTCATTACCAAAAGCAATGAGGGCAGGAACTTTATTACCAAAAGCAATGAGGGCAGGAACTCACACAGGGCAGGAGATAATGCAGAGGCCTTGGAGGTGAGCTGCTTAACTGGCTTGCTTCCCATGATTTGCTGATCCTGCTTCCTTATAGAACCCAGGACCACCAGCCCATGAATGGCACCACCTACAATGGCTGGGCCCTCCCCCATCAATCACTAATTTAAAAATGCCCTATAGACTTGCTTACAGCTGGGTTTTTATAGAGACATTTTCTCAATGGAGGCCTCTTCTCTCTGATGACTCTAAAGAACTAGCTGGCACAATTCCTGTTCAGAATTTTGTTTGAAAATCAGGCATTAGAGCTTCACAGTTTTGTTTTTGAGGTGGGCCTCACTATATAGCTGAGTCTATCCTAGAACTTGTGCCTGTTCTTCTTTAGCCTTCTCTACTCTTGAGTGCTTGGGATGCATCTGTGTACCATACCTGGCTACTCATTTTTAAATGTCATAGTCTTACTTAAATATAGATAGGATAGGTGTATTTCTCAACCAGAATTATAACGAGGATAGTCATTGTAATTATTTGAATCAGGTTCTAATTTTAAAATAAAAAGGTTTTGTTCTCTTTAATAATGCATGCATAAACATCTAAGCTTTTGGTGGTTTTTCTTCGTGTAAGATATTTATCTGCAAAACACAAAATAAGCAGGTCAGATTGCTTACTTTTTGTATTAGTTGGTCCAGAAGCATATAAATATAAAGAACAAGGGTGAAAATGCATTTTAAAAGTCCAGGAATCTTTTTTTTTTTTTTTTCTGAAAAACTCTTGGAATTAAGTCATCTATGTTGTGATTCTATAGAGTCATCAGGGATTCCATGTTACTGTTCCAAGCATATAGTCTCCATTTTCAGATTCACCCTGTGGAAAAGAATAGCCAATTAACCCCAGCTATCATGATAAAACAGAAGCAGGGGGGGAAACACAGATGGCAAAATGAACATTATTCTGTTTTCAGGCTTCTTTCTAAAACTGTCAGTAAGTTGCTTATTCAAGGTCTCCCCATTGAGGTGCAAAGAAATGCTGGGAAATTAGTGTAGCAGTTTTAAATCTGGGTGCATTGTCAGTAGTAAATGATGGGATTTTTGATAATAGGGAGATGAGATGAACTTGAATACTCTTACATTTCTTTGTGTCTGCCTCCAGACACAAAGATAATTAATGGGTCATAATTTTAGTCCATTTGTTGTTGTTGTTGTTGAGATGGTTTTCAGCCCAGGGTGATGTCCTTTCCAAGGGACATCTTCAGTGTCAGAGACACCTTTTTGTCACCTGGAGGGGCTTGCTACTAGCACAAGTTACATTTGGACTTGAGAAATGTCCTGTGTCCACAGATCTTCCCCTAACACAATGATGTATGCTCTGTTGGTGTTGCTGAGGCTGACAAACTATTCCTATATAGGCGAGCTTTTACTATGTCCTGTGATGAGACATGGGATGTCAATTTGTTCCTCTTTGCTGTATATAACTAGTACTCAGACTTAGGTCATACTGTTTTTAGACAGCATTAATTATTCATTTTCAGAAATAGAGGTTATACCTTGGGGAATAAATTTCTACTAGTAGTTCTTTTAATTCATGCTGTCAGTTTGGCTTTCCAAGTCTTTAAGGTATTCTTGGTAACAGACCCTCCTGGGGATATTCTGGAGAAAGTAATCTCTTATTGTCTGTATTCTAAAGGAAGCTGAGCGAATGCTTCAGGATGATGGGGATACTGTGCACCTTCCATTCGAAAGAGGAAGTCTCCTAAAGTACAGGTAAGATACAGCTTTATTTTGTACAGTGCAGTTTTTACATGTGTCAAGAGTATAGATAAAGCATTAATATTTCTTTGAAATAATGGTGAGTAAATGTTTTCTTAGGGTAAACAAAAGGGCAGGTTGGAAGGCTTGGACATTTGGCTTACATGGTGAAAATCTAGTAACCATTCCAAGACTTTGCATTGACTTTGTCATACCACTGTATCTTAATGGCCTGTGCTTGGTTGTTTGAGCAGGATTTCACTATTAGCCCTGATTGGCCTAGAATTCATTGTGTAGACCAGTTTGGCCTCCAATTCACAGAGATCTGTCTGCCTCTACCTCCAGAGTGCTGGGAATAAAGGTGTGTGCTACCATGACCAGCTGCATTCTTAACTTAAACATGATTAAAGTGTGAACAGAGGTGGAACTTTTTTTAAGCAACTGGTATTAGTCACTTGAACATAGCCTACTATTACACTGTTATTTTAATGTAATTTAAGTCCTTCTTGTAGTATCTGGTATTGAACTTGGAAACTGCATACTTGGCTAGCCATCCCCCACTGAGATACTTCTCCAACTTTTTTATTCACTGCATACTTAGCTAGCCATCCCCCACTGAGATACTTCTCCAACTTTTTTACTCAGGGTGACTATTGCTGTGATCAAACATGATGATCAAATGCAACTTGGAGGGGGAAGGGTTTATTTTGCTTACTTTTCCATATTACTGTTCAAGGCAGTCAGGGCAGGAAACTGAAGGCAGGAGCTGATGCAGAGCTTGTTCTCCTTATAACTTATTCAGTATGCAAATTTCTTAGAGCACCAGAACCACCTTCCCAGGGATGGCCACACCACAAAAGGTAGGGTCCTTCCCCATCAGTCACTAAGTAAGAAAATGCCTCATATACAGGCTACAGGCTTGCCTACAGATGATTTTTATGGAGATGTTGTCTCAACTGAGGTGTCCTCCCCTCAAATGACTCTAGCTGTGTCAAGTTGGCATAAACTTGCAAGCACAACAACCCCCTTTTTTTTTTTCTTGTTTTTTTTTTTTTTTGAGACAGGGTTTCTCTGTGGCTTTGGAGGCTGTCCTGGAACTAACTCTTGTAGACCAGGCTGGTCTCAAACTCACAGAGATCTACCTGCCTCTGCTTCCCTCTGCTGGGACTAAAGGCGTGCGCCACTGCTGCCCAGTTCCCAACCCACTTTTTATTGTTTATTCTGAGATAGGATCATAGTGAGTTGCCAACTGCCTTCAGGCTTACTATGGTCTACTGCTTCAGTCTCTGCCTCCTGATAGCTGTGACTAAATGCTTGCATTGCCCACCTCACTCATGTAATCCAGTATGATCTTCATGTTTGTAACTTGTTTGCATGAATGGTTTTGGTTAAAAAGTAGGTAGGCGCTAATAGATACATTGCAGTTTTATCTATGAAATGTTCATACTATTTGTGACCAATAACATTGAGCCCACATTATTTGTGGATATAACCATTATTGGATTGAGGTTCTGGAGTCATTTTACAGTATTTCATAAAAATGTAGAAATGTTACATTTGACTTTTATAGAAAATATAGTGTTATTCTCTGATTTTGATACATCTGATGAAATAACACCTTGACATTAAAACTTTGAGAATATCTAGCTAAAATTGGTAGAATCATTTTTGTGCTATCTTTGCTACGTTCAGAGCTTCATTTTCAGTTGTGTTTTTTAGCATAAAAAATGATTTGCAAAAGAAAAATGACTGTTGTTGTTATATAATGTAGTTTCACTTTATGAGAGTGCAAATTGGAAAAGTTTTTGACTAAGTCTATTTTTAGGGTTTTAGACACAATAATTGGCTTTTATGGTATCTCAGTGATACAGCCTAGATGATCAGAGGGTGTTGTGTCTAGAATACTGATAAAGAACTATCTAACTACAAACTGAAGTAGATTTTGCTAACATAATCAGTCCTGCTTAATTTTGATTGTAAAGGAACTTGGAGTTTTCTGTGAAGACTTGATAGAATTCTAAGTTTATAATACTTTGTTAGATCATAATTTAAGTGCATGGCAAATGTTTTCTCAATTTTGAATTGATGAAAACAAGAAATTATATGATGCTAATAAAAATGACAACATTAATGCTTTTGCAAGTACTGAATACTAACCACAAAGTGTATTTGTTCTTCAGTATTGACCCTTCAGTTGTTAACATATCAGATGAAATGGCCAAAACTGCCCAGTGGAAGGCACTTTCCATGAATACTGAGAATGCCAAAGTAACCAGACCTAACACGAGGTAGTTATAACTGTTTATGCCTTTGTAACTGTTGCCAGTTTTCACTCATTCATATTAATTTACCTAATGTACCTAATGTATTGGACAAAACCAATCCACTCCCAGCTTCCATCTGCTCTACTGTCTGAATTGTGTTCTGATGCAGGTTGTGATTGTTTTTCCTGTGATTATGTTTTATTATTTTTAAATTTACAATGGTGTATTTCAGAAAAGGATTTTTACTATTTTATAATAAAAATATATTCTACAAAACTGCATATATATTTTTGTGAGTGTAATTATATTCATAAATTGAATATATTCATAATTAATGGTTCAATTGAGTATAATTTTTTATATTCAAATGAAAAGAAAAATATGTAAAAAGAAAGATAATTACTAAGAATTAATGCTGCCAGGCATTGTGGCTCACACCTGTAATTACAGTCCTCAGGAGGTAGGCAGGAGGAGGAACCCAAGTTTGAGGCTTGATGTAGTCTATGTAGTGAGCTCCAGGCCAGCCTGGGTTACAAACAAGATTCTGGCCTAAATAAATAAATCATACTTTCTTTTGGTGTAGATAGATAGGTAGGTAGGTAGGTAAGCAGGCAAATACATAAATAAATAAATAAATAAATAAATAAATAAATAAATTTGTGCTTTCTTTTGGCTGATTTCTACCTTGTGATAAGTGTTTAATTATTCCTTTTCCTTCTATAAAACCTGTATTCTACTTAACTGTCATCTTTTCTTTCTTTTCATTTTGGTTATTTGACATAGGGTCTTACTATGTAGCCCTGGTTCTTCTAGAACTCACTATGTAGCTCTGTCTGTCCTGGAAATAACAGATATCTATCTACCTCCCTCTCCCTCTCTGCCTCTCTGCCTCTCTGCCTCTCTGCCTCTCTGCCTCTGCCTCTGCCTCCCAAATGCTGTATGCCCCATGCCCAACACTTCATCATATATTTGATCTTTGTTTTTTGAGTTCTAATTCTAAGGTTCAATGTTCCTTCATTTTCTGTCTTTAGCCTCTAGGACTTTAGTTCTTTAAACTTCACGCTGAGTTCCTATTCACATTCTGCCAGCACCCTTGACTCAGATTAATAGTATTATGGTGAAAATAAAGGCCATATAGTAATATTAGTACATGTTTTATATTAAACTTGTAGTGTGGGTTCATCATCTATTCAAAATCACATTAGAGTAAAGACAACATCCTGGCTTTACTCATGCTACAAAAGTAACTTATTGGGAACAAGAGTGGGAACAAGTGTTCAAAGAGTGAGAGGAGTATGATCAAACTACATTATATTCATATATGAGATTGCCGAAGAAGCAAAAGTAGCCAGGATGTAATAGCAAGTTGTAAGCTGGTGCTAGCAAGCAGCTCATATATATATTGTAGATATTCCTTGTTGACCATTTGAGAATTTAGGATTGATTTTTTTAAAAATAATTTTTTTTCTCATTGTTTGTTTTAAACAGCCCTGAAAAGCCTGTGAGTGTGACAATAAATTTCGAAGATGAACCATCAAAAAAATACATGGATGCCGAGACTTCATTGTAAAGTCAAACCAAAAGGAATATATAGAGATATATGCCTGTCTGTCTGTGTGTATATATGTATATATATACATATGTATGTATATGTATATATATATATACACATGCACACATATATATGTATATGTATATATATAATGCACATGTGCCATGCTATTGTGTATAACAGTACTGCATGTCACGCCGTTTTTGCGTGACAGTGGGGCTCTTTGAAGCAGCATCTGATGTTTGTTGTGAGCACCATGGAGACTGTATTGATGAAATGGTCTCTTAGAAGCGAGGTACATGGTTTTTACTCTTCAGATATTTATTTTCTTGGGGGTAAAGCCTTTCTGTTATGCAATAGAAATATGTGGAAAACTGTATTCAATCTGATTTTCTTAAATCTCTTTGTCAGTGGCAATCATATCAATCTTAAGTAATACATACTTAGATTATATATTTATAATTTTGACCTGAATTTTGAAAGATTATTATTTCCCTTTTGGTAGTGTTTTATAGGTAGAATAAGGAGTCTGCCCTTGTTGTGGGAAAATGACATGTGTCCTGGCTTCTCTTTGAGCTTCCTTCATGTAGCTGTCCATCATATTTCGCAGGTGATGAACATAGAGGTGATTATAAATTACTGGAGACTTTCTAGGTAGGAACGTTATGTCTTAGGAGTTACTTTTAAAGTTTAAAACTTATCTGGGCTTCCATTCTGATGGACAAATAAACAAAATATATGTGACTTCTAATTTAACACCCACACCATTCATAATGTTTTGAGTTTTAGAAGCTATAAAGTTCCCATTTGTAGTAGTTAAATTTTGTTACCTTTGTAGCAAGGCTTTTCCAGTATTCATACTTTTCTAGAAACCCAGAGTCCCACTGTTCCCTGTCTTTGCTGTCTTTTACTTAAAGGGGTCTAGTGACATCAGGTTCAGATATCTTTCTGTTGTAAGTAGTAATAAAGAGTCAGCATCCTTTTAAATGGGCGTGTAATCAGTGACCCTTTATGAGAATTACCTTTCATTATCTGTTGTTATTCTTTCTATTGTATGCAATATATTTAATAGGTTAGTAGCCACAATTTCCTTTTAAGATATTTTATTTATTCTAATTGATGTGATACTTGCATATTATATAAATATTTGAGACAGTAACAAATACAGAGTCAATTGTTCCTATTGTAGGTATCTGGTGCTCACTTGCATTCTATTCTGTTTATTACCTGAAATCAGTGACTAACTTACATCTTGGATATAAAGCACTGCCATATTTACATTTTAAAAGGAAGTTGGAAGTATTTTCTGTGCAGTTCAGATCTATGGCATTGTTCCTGTTCTATGATGGCATTGGGGTTCCAGTGTTTCTGACCTGCCTTTTAAACATGTAGCAAATTGTCATCTTTTATATACTCTTAGCTCCCCACAGAATAAATAAATACTGTTTCAGCCTGTGGGATGAAATGATTGGGGCTATGAAAATGATAGGACAGGAGGATAAATAATACACAGAAACAGTGAGAAGACCCAGGATCACTGAAGGGGATGAGGACATGAAAATTAGGACAAATGTTTTAAGGAAATTCTGATGTTCCCTAGTCATTTCATACAAAAATATGAAGAAATGAATAGAATTGCCCAAAGCAAATATTTCTAGCAAGTAGTTTCAATTCATTCTAAACTATGTATCATTTAGTATAATTCTCTCATCAGAAATCACATGTTGGATTCTAGTTAAAATAGTAGCTCGCACCATCTGGTACTATCTGAGGAGTTCTGTTGGACTCCCTTAATCTATGATGGGGAGTGTTGCCATGGTGCTTGTGGTCATTAGTGACCTCCATTTTAGTGATTTCCTCTTCACTCAGCAGTGTAGTGATTTCCAAAGTCCCCATTTGCTGCTAATTATAACCCCCCTGATGTGCCCAAACAAGAAAATTTCCTCATATCATTTCCTTTGTCTGGACATCAAAGCGTTAATTTATTTTACAGGAAGTGATTTTAAAATTTAAACTGAAACTACCTGGTATCATAATCTTCCTGTGATTTATATAATTTTATATGTATACATAAACATGTATGTGTATGTATATATTATCTAGTGCCAGGAAGAAAAAAAATGACATAAAAAAATCCTTTGCATCTAAGTGTTTCACTGTGGTTTTGGTTATTAATGGCTTCTCCTTTCTTTTGACTACTTGACTTACAAAGTGATCTGATATGACTACTCCTCTGAAGAGCAGAGGGAATTAACTGCTTCTTTCAGATGGTTACATTACACATGCTATTTTTGGAAATAACAATCATGAATAACACTCATTGCAAGACAGCAAGAGAGATAATTTACTATATATATTGATTCTTAAATGCTGCCTTAAATAGGTGTATATGAGCAGTAGTAATTGCTGTGTACTGATTTACCTCAAGGTGCAAAATAATTAAACTTGTACATATCCATTCACAAAATAAATTCAGAGAAAAGTCCTGCACTTTCTTAGATGCCTTGATTTTCATAGTAGAGCTTAGTGCTACTGAACACCATGGCCATGGAGCCACCTCAGGATACTCTTCCCTCCACCATATTTTATTTATTTATAGATGTGTGTTTACAGAGACTATAATAAATCCTGGTGTTACCTATCTGAAATTTACTTCCTTTTTATTGCTGTTTCAATCTAAAGTAGGAGCTTTTGAGAAAACAGTCAACTAGCTTCATGATGCTAAAGGGGTGATTCTATATATATATATATACATATATATTTTAATAATAGATATGCAAAAGTGAAGTCCAAGGTCTTTAAACATTGTGTGAGTTTTCGTGTATGTGTATGAAAACACTCTTAACTCTCAACTTTTTTTAAACTTGTGGCGTACATACCAATGTTCAGACTTGCCAAGCTTTCTATAAGACATGTAGGATGAAATGTTTTTTGTGTGCTAATGCATGTATTTATAATGATTTGTTTACTGCTGAGAATCACTATCTCTTGTTTCTCCATTCCCCAAAGTGTTTGTTTCTTCCATACACTGAAAGTTGTGGCCTGAGTATATAAGCGTTCTGGCTTTCCTTTTACAAAGGCAGGTTCACAGTTCTGCAGAAAGAATGGTCTCTGACAGTGCGGTGTCACACCAGAGCTTCCTGTTTTAAATTTCATGAGTTTGCCAGTTCAGCAGCTCAGAATCTGCGTTCCCATGAAAGGCTCTGGTTGCCATACCTGAGCCATCAGTACATCGTTTTAATTCAGCTGTGTTTAATGTCTGAAATTTATTCATGTAGGTTTCAACATTCGTTTCATTTGTAGTGCAAACATGTGAACTGTCTTTGTTTAGTCCAACAATTATTTATTTTTAGAAAGTAAATTTAAAGACTAAACTATGCTCAAATTTTCAAATCACAAGATCTGATCATTTTAATTGTAAGGTCTCTTTTAACTTTCTGGAAAGTAAATTTTCAAATAAAATCATGTAAAGAGTATTTTAAATTTTTAACCTATACTTAGAGTTTAAGCCCCAGTTCTGTGGTTTTTAATCATATTTTTTGCACATTGATTGCTTCTGTGTAGCTTTTCTTTTTGTTCCTTTGTTTATTCTAAATTTTTGGCTTTGTAGGGGTAAGGTGTCTTCCATTGTTTACTATATTAGGCTTAAATTAAAATTAAGATTTATTGTCCGTTTATATAATATTTGATACCTTGGTGTGATTTCCCAATACAGTTACAATTTTTTATGGTGTTTATAATTGCAATGGTATTTTCTTTTGTAATAAAATCCAAAGTCAATTAAACAAATTGTAGACTTGATATTTTTCATTTACCTGAAGTACAAGTCTCATCCAGAGTCTATAATGTGAACCTTCCTGCCTTTCACATTTGTTTCCTAATTATTAGAGAAAACTATTTTTTATAGATGTTATTGAAAGTTGAAAGAGCAATAAAAGTCTACATAGCATGTTGTTGGCTGTTGTTTTTACTCTGTTATTAGGAGAATTACAAGTCTTTTTTTTATTTAATTTTTTTTTCATTTTACATACTAGCCCCAATTTTCCCTCCCTCCCTTTCTACTTCCTTTCCACCTCCCCCCATCCCACCTGCCATCTAGTCCTCAGAGGGTGCAGGGTCTCCCTTGGGGAGTCAACAAAGTCTGCTATATCAAGTTGAAGCAGAGCCAAGCCTCTCGGCCCTGCATCCCGGCTGAGCAAGGTAATCCTCCATAGGGAGTGAGCTCCAAAAAGCCAGTTCATGTACCCAGCTACAATCCACAACCCCAGAGAAGCTAAGTAAAAAAGGAGGACCCTAAGAGGGATGCATGGAGGGCCCCAGGAAAGGAAAATAGTCAGGATCTCCTGGGTAAACTGTGGGAGGGGGCTGGGTAGGAGAGAGGCAAGGGGATGGGAACATGAGAACTACAAGTCTTTCTCTCCTTAAACTGAGACAAGGAAGAAGGGAAGTGAGTGGCTTCTGCTTCCTGCTTCCCAGTCCTTCGTGTAGAAGAAGAGAAAGACAAGAAGAGGAGAAGGAAAAGCACAATGATTTTATAATGATATTTTTATAGTTAGGAAATGTTGAAGGTAAAGTTCCTTTCCGAAGCTGGTCCAAGTTTCCCTTCTGTTTTCAACCTGGATACTTGTCCTGTGTGTTCTGTTATCATTATCGTGATAACGCTGACCTCTCTGCTCAAGGCCTGTTTCTCTTTTGTCTAATTTTATTTTGATTTTGATTGTTTTCCCGATGCATGTAACACTTTGCTCCTGTTTTCCACATATAGACCCTTCTTGTGTCTCATTGTAAATTTGTTAAGCCAGATGTATGTATGTATGTGTGTGTGTGTGTGTGTGTGAGAGAGAGAGAGAGAGAGAGAGAGCGAGAGAGAGAGAGAGAGAGAGAGAGCGAGAGAGAGAGAGAGAGAGAGAGAGAGAGAGAGAGAGAGAGCTTTTAATAGGCCCAGGGTGTTGAAAGTATGTTCAACCATTTGATATTGGGACACTATATTATCTACTAAGTACATACTTGGGGACCATACAGTCAAGTATCAAGTTACCTCCCCCACCCTTCACCAAAAAATACAAAAGTTTCTTTTCATAATGTAAGTTTACTATTTTGTATTGGGCTGCATTGATGTCAATCCTGTAGTGCTTGTGTCCTGTGGGCCACAGATTGGACACACCTGATATTTTCAGAAATTTTATGATACAATTTTGTCTCGAATTGATCCTAAATATCTTGGTGTAGGTTTAATTTACCTTTCTTTTGGTTTCATGTTTTATTTATGTGTGTTTGTGTGTGCCACATGTGTGCAAGTGCCCACTGTGACCAGAAGAGAGAGTGTCAGATCTCCCTGAGCTGGAATTACAGGCAGTTGTAAACTTTCTGACATCCATGCTGGACGATGCTGGGAACTGAACTCTCATTCTCTGAGAGAGCAGCAAGAGTTCTTAACCACTGAGCCCTCTCTTCAGCCTGCATATTTTAGGCTATAACTAGGACTCAATACCTTTTACTTTATGTAGTTTAGACATTCACTTCAAGATGGTAAAGGAAAGAAAGAACAACAAAAAATGGGTAAGTGTCCTAGGATTCAGCTGTGTAACAAAATACACAATACGTCAGGCTTGGACCTATGGAATCATGGATCCACATCACACAGCCTGGGTCCTTCCAGGGCCCTCACCTGTCCTTGGCCTTAGCCTTTGGGGTCATGGACTATCACAGAGTTTGGGCAAACATTGATGAATCATCAGGGAAAGTCAAAATATTCTTTCACACTTACGGGGAAGTAGAATGACAAGGAAGCACATTTGGTATCCCACTAAAGACAAGTCAATCTTCAGCTAGTCACTTTGATTCCCTGTTTGGTAATTAGTAACTTACAATACTTTCTATTATACCCCAGCCTTACAGCCCCTAGACCCTTTTGGCTTTTATTTGGTAGAATCAGCCCTGAGGGTTTCATGTCCTGAAGTTTAGTGCTGTGTTTGCCTTGCTTTGCATTTCCTCTCTATAGCTTTCATTTCCAGTGTAGAACTGTACTTTTAAATTTTTGTATGTTGAATATTGTTTTGATGTAGTTTTTTGAGGCAGTGTCTGATGTAACCCAGGCTGGCTGCAAACTCCTGATGCTCTTGCTGTGTTACCCAAACCCCAGTAATTCAATACTTAAGTTGGTAGGGTCCTATACTGAAGGGCACTGTCAAGGTCACATGCTTGTGTTTTGACCCTACAGAGTCACTGTAGGTTCTGCAGTCTCCATTTCTTACTAGTTGTCAGGCTGCTCGTGTCATTTTTTGTTTACAACTCTATACAATATGAAGAGCGGGTAAAATGACATCTTAGGACTTGTGCTCACCCAAAATTGACTACTCACTCAGTACCTTTAAAGGCTCAGCATTGTGCCTTTTTAAAGGCAGTTTTAATGCAACTCGAATTTTTATTATAAAAAATTCTCTGCAGACCTTCTCGAAAAAAGTTAGGTCACTTTGCAAAACCACCGAATGATCTGATGACTAGAGTCTTATAGAGAGCTTTTGGGTCTGGGGAACATGTCTTTGCATTTTCTGTCCCAGACACGTGTTGTGCTGTAGCAGCTTGAAGTGATTTTATGCATCTAAGAGATACTAAGCAGGTAGTCTTGGAGTTCTAGGCCTGCCTGACCCACAAACCAAACTCCAGGTCCTTCTCAACCCCCAAACAAACTAAGCATGTGCCATGTTTCATTTTCCCTTTCAATCTTTGAGAAACTGATTTGCAGTCCATGATATTGCAGCAGCTGAGATAAAGCCTTTTTTTTTTTTTTTTTTTTTTTTGATTCCAAGCCTCTTCAGACTAGGATACAGCACAGCACAGCACACCAAGTTTACACACAGGCACCCTGAGCTTCACTGAGAGTTCTCTGGTTGCTAAGGTAGCAGGGTAGGCGTCACCCGTCGCTATGGTGCTACTCTACCTTGCAGCGTTGTCATTCCTGATTGGCTGAGCGCCTGAGGCTGTGGAGGAAGAAGTGTGAGCATTGGTTCAGTCCCTCTGGGCCAGAAAAGAAATTGACTGAAAAACCAACAGGTGTCAGGGAGGAAGCTGGTTTGAGTTAGCTCGGGTTCTGCGGCAGGATGAGGAAGATGACTTGAGACTGGCCTGAAGGAGGGCCGCCCTCCTGCGCGGTGAGTGATGAGGGAAGCCGGGCGTCCATATGCCCAAAGGCCGCAGGTGCAGCCTCCCTTCCCCTGAGGCTATTCATAGGGACCTTCCCTGAGGGGGCGATGTCAGCCTTGGGGTTAGTCATCCAGAGCCTATCTCCTCAAAGTAGATAAGCTTGTGCTGAAGAGTGTGTGTTGGGAGGTGCCTTCCGCGTTGTGTGGTGCTTCCAGGAGCAAAGGGCCGGTTATGAGTAAACAGTGCGGGTATCCGTCAGCTCTCAGCCTCTGGAGGCTTATGATATCCTTTGTGAACACACTCCTGCCTTCCTTTTACAGGGTGGGCTCTGCTCACTTCCACCTAAGTGCCTCCCTTTAAGGTAACTTCTGTTACAGGTGTGAAGAAAGTCTTTACCATCGCCTAGAAAGCTCCATTTAGGCAGCACCCAGTACCCAGCTGCAGTTGTGTGACTCAGTGCAACCCTACCCTACTAGACCTTACTACCCTTGGACTCCTATGGGTGCTTCAGTATCTACCACATCCTTGACACCGCCTCATCCTCTACAAAACCATCATTTCTACAAAGCTATCTCGGATTCCACCAGTCCCTTGCTTAAACTGAATGTACTACTGATTGTAGTCTGTCCCTGCCCATCCAATCCACCTGCTCACCAATGTTAAAGTATCTTTTATTTATTTATTTTTTAAGTGCCAAGGAGTATTCCCTTTTCCTTCCAGAAGCCCATCTTCCTCACTTCCCTATTTTCCAGTGTTTGGTTAGTCAACACTGACTTCATCTTAGCTGTGCACAGAACATGGTCCATGCCACATCTGGCTGTCTCAACTGTTCTTACCCTGCTGAGAATGGACTGCCTTTGTAGGGCAATACACTCACTTCCCCGTCCTTGTCTCCGTGTTGCCTGATTTCTTTCCTACCTACTAGTATGAGAAGGCTGACTCATTCGTGGTTCAGTATCTAGCAAGTGCACTCAATGTATACTTGATAAAGAATGAATCTCTTAATTTATTAGCTGTTTAGAATTCTCGTGACTTCTGGAAAAGTCAGAGATATTTTTAAAGTGAATGTTAATCTAGGGATTTTTGCTTTAATTGTAAAGGTCTGGAAGTTCTTAATATATGATCTATTTTATGCCATAATGATGATGATGATGAAAATCATATGGTGTGAGTTAACATTGTTGAAGAGAGACAGACAGCGTGGTTTGCAAGAGCTGAGTCCCATACAATTTAGCATTTTCAATCTCTGCCCCCTAACGATTCACTGCCTCCTAAGCTTTTTATCTATGCAAATAATGATAATGGCACTTACCTCACAGGATTGCTTTAAATTATTTAAACATTAAATGTATACCAGGCTTAGTGCCACACACGTGCAGTTTTCATGTGTTTTAAGAACAGTGAAAGCAGCGGTTATGAAATATCCATGGTCGATTCACAAAAGTTTTTGATTCAGTCAAGCATAGACTCTAGGATGCCATTTTGTCATTAGACTGCTTGGTGTATGCCTGATGGCTCTGATGCAGGAAGAGACTCATTAGTGACTATCAATCATTTGAGGAGTCCAGGGTCAGCACAACTGATAGGAGTGCAACCAGTTAAAGGATATAGGAGGTTAGTTGGGCAATGGTGGCCTTTAATCCCATTACTCAGGAGGCAGAGACAGGTGGATCTCTGTGAGTTTGAGGCCAGCCTGGTCTACAGAGAGAGTTCCAGGATAGCCAGGACTACACAGACAAATCCTGTCTCAAAAAACCAAAACAAACAAACAAAAAATGTAGGTGGTGATTGGGGAATCCGGAGCAT